GCAATGCATTAAAATGACCTTGAAAGGGGTCATGCCTTAAAGTGACTTGAAGCTCTGGACCTGCATTTGCACTTTCTCACCAGCAGGTGGAGCCAATGTGATGCTCATTTAGTGCTACATCAGACGTGAGTGTCCACCAGGAAACAATGGCCTTTCATTTGAGAGGTGTGTATTATTACTTATTGAAAATGAATGAGGTTTACCATTACAACTGTGAGGTTCATCCAGGTGTGCACTAGCATTCAAACTCCTTCCTGTGGTGGTCCACAGGTGGGTGGTCAGCCGCAGGCCGCTGTAGACAAAGAACAGAGGCGCTTCTCCCAGCACAAAGAGGCAAGAAAGAGCAGGACTCTAACGGCCACCGGGCTTTCTCTGATTTATGATGAACTCACTTTGTTTTTGCTTTGAATTTCTTGGGGCGACTTCTTTTTTCTGGTGGGCTTTGAGGTGCAACAAATACAACGACTTCACTGCTGTACTTACAGTTGTGTGCAGAGGTTTGGGCAGCTCTGGTCAAATGACATTTGGCTGATTTTTAACATGAAAAGAAGTAAAAATGACCTCTACATGACTAGCTTTTAAAAAATAACTGCCCTGAAATATTAATGTGATAATGTTACTTTACATTTGATTATCTTGACAAAAAAAGAAGTAGATAAAATTATAATTGTGTAAAATAATTGGACACCCTTCCAGAACTTAATTGACTCGTTAGGGTTGGTTAGGCAGGTCAGGAATTCTCATTAGAAACTGGAATGGATAAATTCTTTGGCTCTTCAAACCTTGTGTGAACACTCAACAACCATGAGCTCCTCTAAGCAGCTGGCTGAGGATCTGAAAATGAAGCTAACTGATGCCTCCAAAGCAGCGTAAGGCACTGTCTGAAGTGCCACTCAGAAATGGCAGTTAAGGAACTGTGGAAGTGGAGAAAAGATCTGGAAGAGTAAGAAAACTCTCAGATAAAGCTGCTTGTTTGCTGGACAGAAAGGCAAAGCAAAACCCCCACATGGCAGCAAAGGAATCCGTAATAAAGTTTGCTGACACTGGAGTGGTGATGCATCGTTTTACTGGACAGTGCTGCTTACACAAAAAAGAAGCAGCATTTGATGAAAGGAACACCTTGCCAACTGTTAAGCATGGGGTGAATCGGTCATGCTTTGGGGTTTTGTTGCAGCCAGTGCACATGAAACATTGCACGGGGAAACGGAAAACTGGATTCCACTAAATATCAGCGAATTCTGGAAGCAAACATGACAAAGTTAATGAGGAAACTGAAGCTGAAACGAGGCTGGCATCTACAAGAAGACCATGATTATAAAACACCTCAAAACCTACCATCAACTACTTCAAGGAACACAGGCTGAAGCTTTTGGATTGGCTCTCAGTGCCTGACTTGAAGATAACTGAAAATCTGAGTGTAGATCTTGGTTAGGTCGGCATTCTCTGTGTGTGTATATACATATATACATATATGTATGCTGGAGTTTTTAAACACCTCAGTGTCACTGCTGGACTGAGAATAGTCCAACAACCAAAAACATCCAGCCAACAGCGTCCTGTGGGCAGCGTCCTGTGACCACTGATGAAGGACTAGAGGATGACCAACACAAACTGTGCAGCAGCAGGTGAGCTATCGTCTCTGACTTTACACCTACAAGGTGGACTGACAAGGTAGGAGTGTCTAATGGAGTGGACAGTGAGTGGACACAGTGTTTAAAAACTCCAGCAGCACTGCTGTGTCTGATCCACTCGCATCAGCACAACACACACTAACACACCACCACCACGTCAGTGTTACTGCAGTGCTGAGAATGATCCACCACCCAAATAGTACCTGCTCTGTGAGGGTCCATGGGGGTCCTGACCACTGAAGAACAGGGTAAAAGGGGGCTAACAAAGTATCAGAGAAACAGATGGACTACAGTCTGTAACTGTAGAACTACAAAGTGCACCTATATAGTAAGTGGAGCTGATAAAATGGACAATGAGTGTAGAAACAAGGAGGTGGTCAGAATGTTATGCCTGATCGGTGTATGTATGGGTATATATATATATATATATATTACAGATTCAGATCAGTATAATTTCTAAATCTGACCTGTCCTAACCAATGAGAGAGCAGCTCAGCTGTATCTACCTAGATACCGCAAAGAAAACGATCCTGATTGGATAGTTTTGTTGGCTTTTTCAAGAATTGAACGCTTTTGTTTACAACCAAAACTTAACGATGAATTAAGCGCATTACTAAACTAAGAAATAATTACTAAAATGCTGAGAGTGACTATGTTAAATGAAAATGAACTAAAATTACTGACATATTATTTTTTCAGTTCCCAGAAATCTTTGTTCTCCTCTGAAGGCCTGGAAGGTTCTGAGGGTTCTCCACTATTAGAAATAAGCCACAGCGCTGAGTCTCTGAGAGCTCCTCAGGATTCAGATACCATTGTGTGTGTGTGTGTGTGCGTGTGCACCCACCCATCCACTAAACACCAGGTTTCCATGGTGATGCACAAAGGCTCTCCACACCCTCTATCCCTGACTCCGCCCCTGCTGCACGTCCAGGCTCTATTATTGTCTATGAAGGTCCCTCAGTCGTCCACAGCCTTGTGTTTTGTTCCAGTCTACAGTTATATAGACTGAGACTTTGCTCAGTTTTCCCCAAACGTAGACGATCAGCTAAGACAGGTTTGGTGTCAAAGTTTGCTTCTATCGTTTTGCACTGGAGCTCTGAGGCCTAATGATCTCTAAAACCTTAAAAAAATACATATCTGTAATTTTTCATTCATCAAATTTAATAGAATCATCATACTTGCTGTATTTAATAATTGTAGTAATGCTCTTATTTCAGTCTTAAACTTTGGTTGGAAACAAAAGGGTTACATATTTGGAAGAGCCAAAGGAAAACAGACTAATCAGGATTGTTTTTGTCTCTTATCTATGCAGATAAGGCCGAGCGAGCTCTTCCATTGGCTGATGTTTTGATTTCCAGTAGGCGGGACCAATTTAGGGAGGGAAAATGTCACTCTAGGCCTCTAAGTTCTAGATCCGTGACTGATTGAACACAAACTGCAGTCTGACCAATAGGGCCGATCGATTCCAGATTTCGGGGGGTCCACTCTGATCCAGACTCCATATAATGGGTATCGGAGTCAATTCCAAGAGTTAATTGTACAAAATAATTTTTCAATTCGCAATTTCAAAAATGAAGACAAAGAATAAAATCCAGTGAAACGAAAAACTGCCATCAACTTCAGCTCCCACATCAAGGATACAAGAGGATGGATGTGACCTCAAAGATCTTAGCGAGACATCGAGTGTGTTTACATGCACTCAATTATCCCATCATAATCGGATTTCTGCCGTTATACGATTATTCAAATGGTCATGTAAACAGCACACTGATCTAGAAATACAAGGAAGCTGGATTTTAGCTCAGTAATCAGATTTCTCAGTGCATGTGAACTCTTACTCTGATTTCTTTCGGATTTCTCAGTCTGAGCATGTGCGAAAACAGACCCCAGTACCGGAAATAAGTGAGCAGCTTTGCTGCGAGACGCAGTAGAACACTTTCGGAGTGATGCTGAAACCAAATACATGCTTGACGAAATGAAGAATTTAAATATTCTTCGTCTTCTAGATGACGTATGTTCATATTTTCAGGTAAAGCAGCGCAATGTTTTAAAAAAGCCGCAGCCTTAAGTTTGGGTTTTACATTACGTTTACGTTGCGTATTCTTTTGTGAGTTTATTGGCTGGTTGTAAAGCAGAAATCTGATTACTGTCTGACTCATGTAGACCCAGAGTTCCCCATTATCTGATTACTCAAGCATGTAAACACGATTAGATTACTCACTGATTTTCTGCAGTTATCGGATTATTAAGTGCATGTAAACGCACTCACTCTAAAGAGCTCCAGCTAAACTAACTAACCTTCCTCAAAGTGGAATAACTAAACTACAACGTTTCTACTGTGGGCAGTTTCAGCACCGGCAACCACATTTCAATCGTGAGCCACTTTTTACATTTTACTTTGTTTTCCACTTCGTCCAAAGTGAAACACAGCTGATGTGTTTGTGTGTAGCTGTGAAGGACGTGATTTTCAGACAGGCTGTTCCCAACAGCAGCAGCAGAATATCTCACACTACTATGTGTGCATGTGAGCTGGAACGTCTCCAGTCCTAAGCTTTGGCATTGACTCTCAATGTCCCAAATGCCTAGAACCTGAAAATCGACTCTTTTGGGACTCCGAGTCCTACTAACCAGGGCTCAGCTAGCTGTTCAAGACAGTCATCACTGTAAAGCTGAAACATATCATCGCTGTCCAAAGAAAATCTTCTTCAAAAATCTTCATTTTTGACGACTTTTTGTTTCTACATCATTTCAACACACGAGCTGTCCTTTAAATTGTGTGAAAATGTCACGATGAATGGACCAATAGAAATGCTCTAAAATGACGTAATAAAATCTCTCTACATTAACTTAAACTGAAAGTGTTTTTGCTCTCTCCTGTAAAGTTACCATTTGGGAGAAACTTATTTTTCTTTGGACAGCGATGATATGTTAATGATACAAGTATTAAATGTCCACATTAAATATAAAACAGCAAAAGAACAAAAAATTTGCTTAGTGCTTATGTAACATTGGAAACCCCTCTGGGGTGCTAGCTGAAAATAAGCAGGTTTTTCCTCATTGTTTTGACCAAGTTTTGACTCTGAAGGCTCAGCACTGCTGTTACCTATGAAAATCTGCAGAAGAACGTACAGCTGAAAACAGTGGACGTCACCTTGAAGCCTAAATTTTGTGTCCATTTGCACATTTTTACAGATAACAGTGTCATACAGTTTCACTGACCTTTAACATTCAATAATTACATTATTAACCACACTACTGTTATCATAACATACAAAAAAGCACATTTACACAGAATAAAAAGAAAAAAAAAAAAAGTATCTTTCAGGACACAGTTTACAAAAAAACAAACGAATAAGGTGCTACGACAAATAATGATGTAAAATATTTTATTTTCTGTAAATGTTCCTAAATTCAGTTCCTTGAATACCAAACCCTATAATCGCTCTGTGTACTTCAAAAGGCTTCATTTTCCAAAACATTTGACGCTACTTTACAGGGCAAAAACACCACCAGGAAAAATGTCAATGTATTTTACAAGACAAGAAAAATATTCATGAAACAATTTTGTTACAGCTGTTCATCGGAGAAAAAAAATATATACAACTGACTTTTTTTTTTTTTTGAAAAAAATTCCTGCCCTGTACAACTGGACTGACCTTTTTATCATTTATTGTGATGTTGTGTACAAGAGAAACGTGAAAAGAAAAAAAAAAAGCTAGTTCTGAAAGAAGGCGTGTGAAATGTGAGTAGCAGGTAGGAGATTTATTTCGGCTACAAAATGAATCGTGTTCTTCCAACAAACACCAATAAAATTATTCAAAGCTCAGTTTGTATGTACATATTTTTTTCCTAAAAGCGCTGCAACGTTCATGATTTCTGCAACCAGCTAAAGCTTATCGACTGAATCGTTTTCAATTCTTCTAATCCAGTAATTAAATCGGACACAAAAGTTATTAAAAAACAGGAAAAAAACAAAAACACAAACGTTTCTACTTGTGCCTATTTCTGCATGGTACATTTTCTGTGGGTGGTTTAAAATTCGTTTAGTTCGTTATGCTGCCCATTTTTTTTTCAATGAGTTTGTTTTTGCATAAAACTAAACGTGATGCACATTTAATAATAATAATAATAATAAAAAATACAGAGTTTCAAGTGGTCAGAATGAATGTGTCAATCACAAAGAGTCACTACAATACCATCATCTAAAGTACAGAGAAAATACTTTCTTGTGAATTATTGAAATTACTTTGCAATTCTGTACAGAATAGTAATTTAAAATAACCTCTGAAACAGATATCATGGCGCCTCCTTATTAAATAATTTTTAAAAGAAAGAAAAAAGAAAACTAAAAAAAAAAAAAATCATCAAAACAAGCACATCTAAACATCCAAAACATCAAATATGAATAAGGTAGTATTTGGTCAATCATTCCAATATTTTTCCTTATTTACATTTTATTTACAGACGTAACAGAATCTCTTCAGACCGCGGCCGACGTTCACAGTCTGGCATCCTTTTTTTTTGTATGTTTGCTTTTTTTTTTTTGTTTTTAATCTGCATCACATCATTTTTATTTAAAAAATAGGCCCACACATCCACTCACACAGTAATAAATACAAAACACCTTTTCTTTTCTTACACAAAACAACAAGAGAAACCCAGGATAAAACTGACTCATGGAATCAAGTATTTTTAAGCTTTTCTTTTCGTGAGTTCGTCCGTTTCCTTTTTTCTTTTCTTTTTTTTTTTGTTTTTCGTTTTTAGTGCAAGTTACTTTTCCCTTTGCGGAAGTCAATTCCGTACATTCTTCATTCAGTGATGTTCTACATTGATTACTACTGTACAGTCTCCACCAATCACGGCAAAACAAAAACAAAACAAAAACAAAAATAAAAAAACAAAAACGAATGGGCCCGCCCTCCTCTCTTTCAACCAATAAGGCATATCCGGCACAGTGCTCGCTCTCTCTCTCCTTTTTCGCTGGTGAAATCTGCCCAGGGTCTCACACACACACACACACACACACACACACACACACACACACACACACACACTCTCATGGCACATGCAGGTTAATCGAACCTCCTTTCAAGTCCAGAGAACGATGCAAATGGCTGTAACACAACGGCACATCAGCGTTTGTGTTTTCCTCTTGATTTTGCACATTTAAGAAAAAAAAAAAACGTTTAAAAAAATCAATCAGAACAGTTCCGTTAACAGGCCGACGAAGCTACAGGCCTCCTGCTACCCTCGGACTTCAGTTTCGTTTGTATCTTCAGTCTTCAGCACCTGTGAGTTAAGGGAATGCTTGGTTTTCATTGAGCTCCTCGTCCGTTTTCAGTTCATCCACTTGCGGCAGTTGACCGCGCCGCACAGGCACGGCATCTTCAGGTTCTGGCTCCTCACCAGGCCCAGCTTGTAATCGTAGCACAGCTAGAAGGAAAGAAAACACCAGGACAGTGTTAAAGAGATGGCTAAACGAGGAGGAGGTCACTGAGAAGCAGCCAGCAGGCGAATGTTACCTCTTCTCCTTTCTCGATCCTGCGGCTGGAGCTGATGATGATTTTGTACCCTCGTTCAAAGGTCACGACTTCTGCCACGCAATTCGGTGAGCAGGAATGATTGATGTACCTAAACACACACACACATACACACACACACACACACACAATCATTTATATCAACAGCTCTCTGCTCATCAACATCACTCAGCAGCCTTTTCTAAATCATTAATTCATATATTACTCATCTCACTCTGCAATTCCAATTTTAAGGCATTTTAGGCAAAATTACTATTTCAGTTTTCAAGGTAATATTCAAAATAATTTCTTTCAAAACTAAACTTTGTATCTCCATATTTGTCGTTTAGTTTGGAGAGTTGTCACGATTTAAAGAGGTAACAATGAATGGCATTATACTTCGTAGTTAATCGCAATTAATCACACTCATTTGCTCAAATCTGTACTTGATTTTTACCCCCATTTATAAACCAGTTAATTCTGTCAAAGCTGTATGAGTGGGCAAAATAAGCTTCATCAGAATGTATATATCACTGTTAATAATTCAGTAACAACATTTTCACAGTGTGAATGCAGTTCTTAAAATCATGTAATTTCCACAGAGTGAATGCAGCTCCCAGTTTTCATCACTGGCGTCCAGTGAGAGCAACAGTAGCTGCACGTCTAAATCAATGAGTGCATATATCATATATACAGTCAGCGTTTCAACTCCTCTGTGATTGTAGCCTTGTGGATTCTTGTTAGGCTGGGCGTCACTACACGACTTTTAAAACCGTAACAGATTTCGAAAAATATTGAGCACCACAAACTTAATGTCAGTTTGTCACAGAATGTCTTGTCTTGTTGTTGTGAGGGGGTGAGAGAGAGAATAACACACAACGAGTTTAAAAAGAACTCAAACTCCCAGGTCTCCTCAGATTACATGACACAAACAGAGCTGAACTCACTGGACCTGTTTGTGCTTTTATGAGTAGCGAAAGTGGAAACTGGGGATTAATATGTGGTGAGAAACGTTGAAATTACAGTGAGAGCTGGAGAAATATTTCACTACAAACTGGCAGCTGAGCTGAAACTATACAGTGACCTGATCTGGATGCTGTTCATGCACGTCTGTTCTCCTGTTTCTCCGCTCTTCCAGCTCTCTGAGTGGCTGTTGTTTGAATCACTTGTTGAGTAAATCTCTGACCGTCTCATGCTGCAGGACGCGTGAACGTTTTGAGTCGTAAATATTAAACATGTTTGATAATATTGGAGGGTCTCTGGTCACTTCAGAGTTCAATTGGAGGGCTAAGATTCACTCGTTTCTCCTCTCACACTAGATAATCCTGGCAGTCAGTCGCTTCTGATCGAGCTCCCGTCCTGGGAAAAACGCTTTAGAATGCGAAAATTTGTCGCAAGGGGCAAATCAGGCTTACAATCGGGCAAAAAAAAAATGACAGGGTGCATTAAAAAATTGTGATGTTAATAATTTAACATGTTATCATGTTAATAATGTGTTCACAGGTGAACGTTCATGAAGAACGGACAGTGTTACACTAACTTACCCTGAAAGTTCATATATATATCTATATCTATATATATATATATATATATATCTATATATATATATATATATATATATATATATATATACACACACACATATAAAAGCTGTAGCTATAAGTCCCATCCCAGTCTCCCCGCTGTGTGACTCTGAACTGATATTTTACCTTGCAGGGCTTCCAGAACAGGTAGCGTCGATCACATACTCGCCGTCGATGTGGAACATGAAGGCTTTCCGGTTCTGAGAGAGAAATCAGTTGAGGTGGGTTTAGGATCGGTAGGCTGATGAACACTTTTAGCGTCACTTAATACAGTTAAGCCAACAGCAATTCATCAATACCTTCGCCTTGTAGTGCAGCTCCTTCCTCATGGCCACCTCGGTCCGGAGGATTTCACCCAGGTACTCAATGACCATGGTCTGCTTCTCGATGTCTCGAGCGGCAAAGAGCCCAAGGCCCTGCAGAAACACACTGCGTTACACACACAACAGCACACTACTCCTCATCAAGAGCATGAAAAAAAAAAAACACATCTATAATGTTTGCTCATTGCAGCTACTCGCTTTCTATTCACCACACTGCCCTTCATTTCCTCTCATCAACTTCTTCATTATGTTCAGCAGAAACGTTAAAAGACCTTATTCAACAGGTTTTTCCACCACACAGTGGAAACGCCAGTCATAGAATGCTGGCCTTTGCTTCGCTCCATGCTCCACTCTAACACCTCACGACTAGTCTTTGTACCTGTTTTCCCCTTTAAGCTCATTTGCATGTATAAACCTTTGTTTGTTAATTACACCAGAAAAGAGAAGCGTATTGTCACTGTTCAGCGGGGGTGGAGGGGGGGGACTTTTTTTTAACCAACCGCTGCTCTTTACACTGTGAAGGCTTTGTGACAAATGGGCCAAAAGAAATGGACCAAATTTGCTTTCTAATATAATCTTTTTTTCAATTCATTTCCATTTTTTTCCTCATCTCCTATAAATTTGCCATTTTTGAGAAAAGGTTTTGTTTAGACAGCGATGATATACAATTAAAAAATGAAGGTCCCAGGAGTGAGCCTTGAGGGACACCGCAAAATGCCACATTACACTTCGATGTACGGTACAGTCCATGGTACAACAAAAATCACATCCACTTAAGTAGTGAGTCAAAAAAGCAACCAATTAATTTAGTACAAACATTTGCCTGGAGTTTGTAATAATATGTAATTTTAGCAGCTGTTTCTGTCGGTCTGCATTTTGCACTGGTTATGGCTATGGATAAGCCCATCCTTCTAACCACTGGTCAGCTCCTGCTAAGAACTGCCTAGAGAAATGGATTCCTGGAGGGGGGCATCTAATAAACTAACTCAGCACATACATCTGTTTACTGCTCCTCTGCTCCAGTCATAAGACTTGTGAGCAGCCGCCCACCACAGTGGCTGAGTGAGACATTAGATACGTCTCTGTGACTGGCTGGCTTGGCGGCTGAGTGGGTTTAACAAGCGTGGCAGGGAACTGGAAGTACTGCAAGGCCAGCTGTGTCTCTCTGAGATCACTGATCAGGATGCCAGAGCAGAGGAGCGCCAGCAGAACTGGCTCAGAAAGCACTGTATCCTATTTAGCTGCTCTGACAGTAACTCACGTCATTCACAGGCCATAGAGGACAGTGACAGAAAGCAGAACTCTGTGCAGCTTGTTTGCAGGTGTTAAGTAATAACTATGCTATAAAAAAGTGACTTGCAGTTAATAATAATACAGATAATGGGGTCCAACAAATTTCACATAGTTTACCTAAGTCAGAAACAGAAACAGAAAGTAAAGCGCCTTTAGCCTGAACTATTAAGGCTAAAGGCACAACTTTAGAAGATTTACTATATCTTTCATAAAGTCCTACTGTTCTATTGCGCAGGTGTGATATGCAGTTTGGACTGAAGAAGAAGCAGATCTTACACTGTATGTTTAAATGTTTCCTTGCAATCAAATATATTAATAGGGAGTCTGCCTCCCTATAAAGTAGCTGAATTCACTAATTATAAGAGGTGTCTGGATATTTTTGAACATCCTATGTTTGATGATTATACAAGCATACGCTATATGTCCAAATGTAAGAAAGAGAAGCATATACAAATAAAAAAGAAGCATTTACAAATAAAAAACGAAGGGCCCAGAATTGAGCCTTGAGGGACACCATAAGACATCAAAAACATCCATGTGGCACTTGGATATTTAAGTACCCAGTGCAACAAAGTAGCCATGACCATGTAAGTATGAACTGAAAAGGTAACTTAGACAAGCTGTCCTAGTTCTGCTACCAGTCAAGAATCCTGTAGAGAACCGAGACACAGGCTGCTTGAGTCCATGTAGATTGCTAGAGTATTTGCATATTACATGTCCAGGGTTGCCAACTCCATCTGACAGCAAATGGAAGCACTCACCCTTCTGATCATCAGCATCTTGGCTCAGTACTATGGCTATGAATTTTTTAAAAAAATTTTATTACACGTTTCAAGCAATCATTTATACACTGTATATTCAAATATATAGCTCAGACACACAAACACTTTAGGGATCACGTAGAAGGAGGCAGTGATTTAGCACACCTGGATGCGGGAGTGGGCCAGGTAGACGTTGCTTTTCCATTCACTGGTCAGTCGGCGGTACTGAGATGATTTGGAGTGCACAAAGTGCTTACTGTGAGATGGCCCGGTCTCCGCCAGGGCAGAGTTCTGCATGACGCAGGAGGTACGGTTCCACACAGAGAGGATCTTTAACCTGAGTGTGGGTGTGTGTGAGAGAGAGAGAGAGAGAGAGTGTGGTGACAGGAATAGAACAAAGAAAACAGAAAATACATTAACTTTGATCTAGTATGATATAGCATTGATATAGTATTACACGGTGAGAAGTAAATGAACGAACTCAGTTTTCTTTGAGGAATGGACAGACTGGGCGAATGAGTGGAAATCATTTTATATCCAAAGTATCATTAACCTACTAACCTTACATCTACTGTGCACATCTGTTAACAATGCAAACAATGAGGACCACCATTCCAGAACAAAGAACATCAGTTTTGTCTAACAGACTAAATCTGTTAATCCAGTAGCTATCTATTCCTCACTCGCGCTATTATAAATGGGCATTTCTTAATTATGTTTTATTATTATTATGTTAGTATTATGAACACCTGCACTGACAAAACCAATGTGCTAAGGAAGATACACAGAAATGGACGAAACCATGTTGCTTTGCTAAAACCAGTAATCTTGAATGTTTTGTCCATTTTTATAAATAACAGCATCATACAGCATCAGAAGCCACATATGCAAGTCTACTTGAGATTATTTAACAACTAATTTCTTAAATTTACAATTCTATTCAGAGTTTGGACTGATGAAAGCTAATGTTATGTTAATTATTCCAGTGAGAGTCAGCATATAAAAATGAAATAAAATTGAGCCCAAACTTGAGCCTTGAGGAACGCCGAAAGGTACTTCTAGACACTTAAATGTATAAGTGAAGGGTTTGTGCCAAAACACATTATAGACCACTTTCAAAAATTTTTTTTTTTCATGAAATACATTATTATGAATGAGCTTTACACATACAAAAAATATCAATGCCATATTATAATTAATATCACTTTTTAAAAATTAACTTATATATTCAGCATATTGGAATGAAACTTTTCAAGTAGCCACATAATACTGACAACCACTTATGTAGGGATCTGAACCACTCTAGCACTGAGCCAGTGAGTGAACCCAACCCAGTTCTACAGTTAGTCAAGCAGAATCCCGACACTGACCTTTGATTCTGCGGGTAGCTCCTTAGCTCTGACCGGGCACTGCCCGATGGGTTGATGCACAGAGGAAGCTCCAACAAGGGGTTCCGCCCATAACGGAACCGGTACCTCGAACAAGCCTCCACACCCGGCAGCTAGAATGCAATCATAAAACATCAGTAATGAATAAAAGGAAGCATGTACTGTGCATTCAGAGAGATGTATGTATGTATTTACCGATTCAGCAATGCGGGCGACCACTGACACGGTCAGTCCGAACAGGTCCTCTCCCTTCAGGTAGAGTGGGAACAGCCTCAGCATGCCTGTTTCTGCTCGCCGCTCTGCTACTGACCCCAGGACCTTATCCCATACGCCTACACAAGCAAAGAGCAAGTGAGACAGAACAGACGCTACAAGTCAGTTCACAATAAGCTTTTAACATTTTACTACAAGCTGCTCCATTTTTCTGGTAGGAAGGTCTCAATCAGATCTGAACGACTGAACTGATCGAGGCATATTTTAATGGATTGGTACCAGCTAAATCCAATTACGAACCTTCCTTTTTAACAAATTACACAGATACGGATTCGTGGGCAAAATTTTTCCCAAATATCCGTCTTGTTGCATGACAACTCGTATAACTATATCCTTATCCGTATGACTATCCTTATTTTTAATTATTATAAACATCAGTTATTAACCAGTACAAATCTGTGCTACGGTCAACACTACAAATCTGTATTACAGTGGTCCCAGCTTTCAGGTGCAACACAGAAGACCACCACACAACCTTGTGAAGAAAACAAGACAACAGACAAAAGAGTGCACACAACAAAAAAACACCAGACTGAGGCGCGTACCTTTAGCTGTGGTGTCAGTCAGCACCAGGTCCTCGTACCCTCGCTCCAGCACGCGGATACTGAACTCAGGCCGTCCCTGTCGCTCCTCCACGGAGCAGACGTAGCGGCAGCGGCGCCGACCATTCCTCATGCTCCAGTAGAGACGGCTGGCCTCGTAGCCTGGTGGGAAGATGGCACTGGCCGAGTGGAAATGAGGCAGCAGGGCTGGGGGCAGCTGACCCATGGCGTGAAAAATCAGGCTGCCCACACGGAAGGTGTGGCCCAGCTCAGGGCGCTGCACGGCAGACGCCAGCTGCCGCAGCTCGTCCCGCTGCACGTAGACGCGACGGAAAACGGAGAAGCAACGTAGCACCTGCTGGTCCAGGTGCAAGCCAGCTGCACTGGTGCTAGAGCCCCCTCGTGGCCGGTGCTGGTGGCACAGCATGGTCTTGTCCTTGAAGAAGGTACAGCCGGCTTGCAGGGCGCAGGTGAAGTGGTAGACGTTGAGGCAGCGCAGCCGGTGGCAGCCACTGGTGGCTCCCAGACGCTGACAGAAGGCGCATGAGATAGTCTGGCCCCTCTGCCGTGCGACTTCCACGTTGATGAGTGCGCCAGCCTGCGTCTCGTAAACCTCCGACGACCACAACGCGCAATTCAGGTGCACCCAGGTGTCCAGGTCAAGGTTGAGGAGGCGGGCAGCACCATCTGTCAACCCATCACCTTCCTGCTGGCAGAAGCAGCAGCGACGCCGGTCTCGGGATGACGAGCATGGGCGTAGGGATGAGCGCAGCTCCTGTCGAAGATCCTTCACAGCGGATACCGGATGCAAATGAAAAGTAACCAAAGGTCGTTACGTGACTGTAATATTTTCACAGAACAGCTGTTTTCATCTCCAGCACCATTTCTAAATCCTGATTGATTCCTGATATTACGACAATAATTACTAAAAAAAAAAAAACCATTATCCAGACTGTACGCACCTCTTCGGGCTCCTGCAGTCCAGCCTTAGATGAAGCAATCTGGATCGTCCACTTGCGCCAGTGGAGGCCCTTCCAGCGCTTGCCGTGGTGCCAGGGCTTGTCATTAGGTCTATATAATTAATAATTATCAAAATCAGACATCAATAAAACCACAGTTACCTCAGAAGAAGTCTAGCCATTCACTTCACAACAGCACAAACCAGCAAGACCGTTAGCCAGGTACTGTCAAATTATGGAGAGTAAGAAAGGCAGCAAAAAAAGTGGAAAATGTCTTAGTTTTCTTAAAGTGTAATGTACATCAACCAGAATAGGCTTTTTGTTTTGTTCAGGGTTCAGAATACTATTCAATGTAACGGTATGGCATAATAGTACTGCACGTAATATATGGATATAAAAAAACTTTAGAAAAACATGTATCCTGATAAAACTTTTGGGCATATTGCTCAGCCATACTTGTCATCCGTGTGGCTCTGGGAACGAGGTTTCAGCTTCACAGTCATTTTGAGGTGAGACTCGGCATTTGACTCTGTCTTCACAGACTCCGTCTTTACAGGCTCTAAGGAGGCCGGTAAGGCAGGACCTAGGGGGTTGGGCGAGGGGGATGAGGGTTTGGACTGGAGCTGGGCCAGACAGTGCACGTCCAGAGAGGACATGTTGTTGTTGTACTGATGCTGGGCCTTGGACGGACTCCCTTTCACAGCTTTGTCTTCAAGCAGGGCCACTGATGCCTGGAAACATAAGGCAAGAAGAACTTCAGTCATGAAGTGGCCTCTCTTTACCATATACCATAAATATAACAGCGTTACATTACAAACATTAAGACAACATTGCCCTTACGCCTTAATGTAGTAGATCAGCCGAGACAAGTTTGGAGGTTTGCTTCTTTACTATATCACCAAACTATCACTTTCAGTATACTGTATTTTTTTTTAACTTGTATAGGAGAACCAAATCAGCAAAGATGATATTTTTATTCCCCAGGTTTAAAAACACTGGAGGAAGGTAACCAGTGCTTGGTTATCTGCAGTCTTTGACTATCTGCAACAGGTGTGCTGGAGGAACTAAAATAGAAAAGCTGGAGGAACGGAACAGACTGAAAATGTGGACTGGCTACAGGTTGGGACTGGACTGCCACAAGCAACTCAGGGCAGGGGTTGACGATGCCTATTGCTGCCCCCTGCCCCCAACAATTCACAGTCTGGCCCCTAAAAATGCAGAGATTGTGGCCCAAATGGCCACCTACCACGTTGTTTCCCTTTGTTACGTTATTCCCAAACCAGCTGAACTTTCACACATTAACAAACATTCATGAATTGAAAACAAAACAACTACAGTTCACTTTCCCACACGATTGGAATTTTGAGAAGGATATCATGTTCTGTCGAGCACGTTCTCTGTTTTCTACAAGATCGTTTTTTTTACTGGGAGTAAACCGTTTAGAACACAGAATATTCAACAGCATGGCTGCACCTTTCAACATGAGCACTGTTATAATGCAATGAGCAAGCAAAGCAATGAACCTGCAGGGCTGACTCATTACAGCCTGATTAAGGCGGAGGTGTGTCAGCAGAAATAAATGATAAAAATCTTAACTTCGGCTGAGTAAATTGTGATTTGACTGGTTTAATGCAAAAAAAAAAACAAAAAAAAAAACAGTAGACTTTGGGAACTCACCGCAGTGTATATCTCGCTGCTGTCGGAACAAAACCTCGTATCTATTTTTCAGTTTTTGACATTATTTGAAAATGCTTGTTGTCATTTATATTGTGTGTAAATTTCATGATGAATGGGCCAAAAGAAACGGCCCAAAAAGACAAAAACTCTGGTTCCATTGACTTACACTGAACGTAAAGTACGTTTTTTCCTTCTCCTGTAAAGTTACCGTTGTGGAGACTTGAGGTTTTGTTCTGACAGCAGTGATACGATAATCATAATGCAATATGATAATCTCAATAATTCTGGTGAATCAGTGCTAATTTTTATATCAGTCTACTCTTTCACAGTGAAAATGCTTTAGAACTTCTTACTCTAGTGACGGCTGCAGAGGGAGAGACTAACCTTAGTGTCCATGGTGGCTTTGGCCTGTGCAGAGGAGTGCAGGATGAGGCAGCTGTGGCTGCAGAACACCAGGTCTCCATCTGAACTCGACTGGGATTCCTGCAGGAGAAAGTACAGAAAGAGAGAGAGGGTCGGAAACTAGTCTTAAAAATAATAAGAGATTAGAGTTCATTATGGTTTCTTCCTCAATATTTCCTTCTATATTCATCATCCACTTCACCCAATGTTAAAGAATAAACGTCAAACACCGTTTACAGTAAACTGGAGCCTTAAAAAGGTTTGTGATCTATGAAATCTCTCAAAATCATGTGTAAACTAGCTAAGCATATGACTGAGCGTCCTGAGAAGGCAACAAATAAAGACTAGTCATATTTTCAGAACTGAGAAATAACAACATCCTCATACTTGTGCTTTGCTTTGTTGATCTTTGGTGGGTTTCTTTACTCCATTGCCCAGGACGACCACTTTACACTGGCGGCACCACTGTGGCTTCGGGCCTGGGCTCCCGGGCCCCTCTTGATACTGCTCTCTGCCTCCTATAGGACCTGAGGGCAAAAAACAGCACCATAAAAATTATATTTTCTATTAATAACTCATCCGTAATTCTTAACGATATGTTAGAAAAGTTCAAGTCTTAACTTTCGCCGTCTCCTTCAGCATCATAGCACAGACTTCTAATTAAGATGAGATCAATTAGCGCGGAAACAGCAGTTACACTGATAGGAATGGCATTCCCTCTGAAACACACTGACATGCTCCCATTTTTAAGGCTTTTAATCTGACACGGCACAGCGATTAACTGAATATCTGACACTGTGACACAGATAAACAGGCTGAAGCAGGCCAAGATCGTTACTCCGTTTCATTAGCTTCTCTAATCGCTGGCTGAATCAATAACGACTCTCTGTCAGCACCTGAGCCACACTGAGCGCTCACACAAAGAAATAATGATGCACATCGTTAGTAAACATCGTTAAAGTGGATAATCGTCTGTGTGAATGACTATGGGAAACAATTAGAGCCAGCCTGCTGTCCCCCACTGTTTTGAGAGCAATCACATCGTATGGTCTCTCAGTCAGAAAGACGACGGTAAAAGATGCATTATCCTGACAATGACCTGTTCGTTTGCTATGCTAATTTTGCTGTCTCTGTAATCAACACCATCAAATTTCTGGATCTGGTGCAAATGTTTAATCTACAAGCTTTTCAAACGTTCTGGAACAATTAATACATTGAGCTCGGCGCTTCTGGAAACAAATACATTTGCAGCCAGATTCCCAGACATGGATTAAGTCTTGGACTAGACTACAATGGCAACGGAGATTCACATTTGGAAAACTCTTTTTAGCCTGAGCTTTATCTTGGTAATCTCTCTCTTAAAACCTCCACCATTTTTATGTTTTTATGTACCAAATTTAGCCGTAACTCATTTTTGGACCATTTTTTAGCCTCTCCTTGTGCTTAGAATTAAACAGGCTGTTTTTGTTGCTGTGCCTTTAAGGCTGAAATATGTAAATTAACTGTTCTGACTGGTTGTCCTGCTTGTCTTTTTCAAAAAAGCAGCACAGGCTGAAACGTGGAACAAACTGTTAAGTTTGGACTGAAATCCTAAGGGATGCAGAACTTCAGCCGCAGCTTTTGGATGTGTGAATCCTTTGGAGAACTGCAACGATCCGTTTGCTTCCCGTCAGACAGGAACAGCACATCGTTTCATTGTTTCCCCACATTCTTCCAAAAGCTCTGCTACAGACTGTCTGCCTGCAGTAACAAACCTCTGCATCACTTCAGTAGGAATGGGCGGCTGAATGGGCACTCTTATGTAAACAACTTCACTAAGAACGGACCAAAAAAACTGGCCCAAAATGACTTGGAAAGATGTCTGGTTCCATCGACTTACATTAAAAGTAAAGTAGTTTTTTCTTTTTCCTGTAAAGTTACTATTTTGGAGATACAAGATTTTGTTCCGACAACAGTGATATATATATATATATATATGTATATATATATATATATATATATATATATATATATATATATGTATATATATATATATATATATATATATATATACACACACTACATAGTATGTATTACCGTGCATCTGAATTTAATTCCCAATGGTAAAACTGAGAGGACAGAGCTGTAACTCACTCTTGTCAGGGGTAAGGTGGCTGTGCTGATGAGGTTTCAGAGGCCCCTGTGCTCCTGTGGCTTTCCCCAGCCGTTCTAGCTCCGCTGCCCCGTGTCCGTGCAGCAGGCCAGAGGCCGAGGGCCGTGCCTCCATGCCCTTATGGGCCCCCAGGGCGGCGTGGGGCCACGGTCCACTGCTCACCTCATAACTGCTGGGGATCTTCACCTGGATGAGGTCAGCGATAGCCGCCACCACGTCTGTAATGTTCTGAAACAGTAAAGAGACAGTTTATGCATTGCCCTCTCCTGAAATCTGACATTTCACACTATCATTTTTAATTTAGGCAAGAAAAAAGGCTACATTCACACAGCAGGTAAAAGTGGCCCAAATCTGATTTTCCTCACCAAAACCGATTTTTTGGTTTGGCAGATTACAGTATCTTTTTAAATGTGGTCTGTATGCGACATCAGTCTGAACGGATCAGCTCCTAAACTGACCCGCATGCGCAAAAGAACAGAGCGTCATGTTGCTTCATGTGGCTCATCCAGAGGTAAACAATCACAACTGCCAACATCACAGGAGCCATCATGAAGCTTCACTGACTGACAGCTGGGCTCATCACCCAGAATGTGTTCAGGCTCACCGTAAAAAGGGCGCGGTCACTTCTTTGGTTCGTGTCCTCGGATTCTTTAAACGTTCTTTTTTTTGACGCTGCAGGCTTGTTCTACGGCTGCGTTCGGAAACGTATCGGATTTCAGTACCACACATGAAAGCGTCTCAAATCGGAATTGAAAATGTCAGATTCAGTGTGTTTATCTGTTCACACAGACACACATCTGTGTCACGTATGAAGAAAAAGATCAGATTTGGGCCTCTTTTACCTGCTGTGTGAACAAAGCCTAAGAAACTTGCAGTGTAAACCTTAAGGTATATTTAGCTTCAACAGCTTCATGTTCAATGTTTTCTCCTTGGTGTGAAGATCAGGTTTTGTCTAAATAATGATTTGACAGTTTTGTTCTCCAAACTACTGACACTGTTTCGGTCCAAAGGTGGTTTAAACACCTGTGAGATTTGAGCGCTGATGAGAGCCGGCATCACAAGTGTGTGGTCCTTATTCACAAGGTAGCACTGATGCTAACAGTTTTAGTGTTTCCTCTAAATAAACCTGCGCAGTCTTAAAGTCAGGCTAAAATCAGAATTAACCTCATGTTAGTTTGTGTCCCTAGTCATATCACCTATGATTTTTCATATCCTACCCTTCAAAAAAAAAAAATTCCCCCATCTTCCATCAAAATGTAAAGAGATCTTCTTGCCTCTGATTTGTGATGATGTCACCATTCATCAGTGGGTTTGAAAAATCACATTAACTAATAATATAATGTTTCACCCCCCCCTGCCACACCTGCCTCCGCCCTCTAACCTCCCTCCTCACCTCAGCTGCAGCTGGTTTCAGGGTGATCGCTATGGAGACGAGGCCTGAGCCGGATCCATTCTGTGCCGCTCCGAACGAAGAGCCGAAGAAAACAGATGAAGGTTCGGTCTTGATGTTGCACAGCTTTGCCTCAGAGCCTACAGAGCCAAGAAAATAAACGAAAGCTGTCACACGATAAACAAAGAAGTTCTTTCAAAAAATGAAACAAAAAAGACTTTTTATAAAGTCATTCATGAAAGAATTCTGACACATTTTAGTTTAAAGTGTTCATAAGATTAAAAATAAGCAGTTCAGTCAAATTTACACAATTTTTTTGTAGTCAATCAGCCAAACATGGTCAGTGTCAGAAGTTTGCTTCTTTATTTTTGAACTGGAGCTACAAAATTTAGGGCTTGGGCTATTATCTTCCATTACTTGTCAGCTACATCAGCCTTAGTGTCAATTCAAAACCAAAGAACACTGGATACCAAACAAGGCTGAATGACTACATTTGGGATGAGGGGGAAAAACACGTAAATTTTTATGCTGGAGTCAAAGTTCCTACCTTTCCCCCTGGAGGGAAACATGGGCATGACTGGAGAAAGAGCCGGTGACGGAGGCTCCTGTTTGACCCGCGAGAGGTCTGGATAGCGGCTAATTTCCATTCCCACCACACTCTCTGGAGAGGAGGAGGGGACAAAACTGTCCGGAGTGTCTCTGTCCTCACAGTGCTCCTGACCCCTGAATAAAAATAGATGCAATACAAGCAGAGAAAATGGTGAGGAGGGACTGGAGCTACATTAGCGGAAAATGGTCATTCTATTAATATTTCCACATATGTGAATTATCAGGCTTGTACTTTTAGTGGCTCACTTCTGTCAGTGTGCTCTGTTATCTCTTACAGAACACGGCTTTGAATTTATAGCCATACAGCCCAGCCACTCTGCATCAGACATGAGACATAAGAGCACAAAACTGTGTGGCTCTTCTGCTCTGAGCGAGAGTGGAACACAATGGTTGAAGTGGTCAGATCTAGAAACAACTATTAAAGGAAGAGGTTTTAACAAAACAAAAGCTATTTTGTATTTTATTACTGTTAAAAAATGCCTGCACCCAAAATCTAACAGCAAATGGTTGAAAAAATAAAGGATATTTGTCCAACGAGTTCTGTCCACAGGCTGTTTGTTTGGTGATGGACTGACCTGATCTCTTCCTGGTTGTTGTGGGGGGGCGTGGGTAGTGATGCAGGAACGTCCACGGTTTTGGGACCATGAGCGAGAGCCCGTGCAAAAAGCTCCTCCTCTGTCTTAAACGGGACGTGCAGCGGCCGTGGAGGAAGCCCTTTGGTCACTGCAGGGGGAGAAGCCAAAGCACTGAGAGCAGAACTTTATCCCACTTTATCTTCTCTCTTTAAATTAAACTTAGATATAAGACAGCTGAGCAGTTACTATAGCGACACTGTATGCGCAAAAATCTGAATAAAAGTGTTTTAGCACTATTTAAGCCAAACAATACAATATATTTATGCTGTTTTCGTTAAATTTTATCAGAGATTTCGAATATGTTTTTTTAGAAGATTAGTTTGGCGTTTAGTTTTGAGTTTATAGATCTCTCCCCTTTCAAAGAGACAATGCCTGGCCTGCAAGTGGACAGACTTTCCTAAAGGATTTTGGCTTAACTGAAAATGAACAGTGCTAAATAGTGCCTTTTGCAATAGAGAGATGTTTATTTTTATAAATTTTATGGAGAACCTTTACACTTTTTTCTTTGTATCTGATTAAAATCAGCAGTGTAAACGCATAAACAATATAAGCTTATAAAAATGCTATGATCTAAAAGACACTGTGTCAGTATCGTGCAGACCACTGGTGTGTCTGAGAGAACATCTCAGAATCACAGCTGATTGTGATGCACATTCATAAATGAGTCAGTATATAACCGGACCCTGTCCCTCACCATCGTGACCGCTGATGACGGCCGCTTTGCTGGCCAGCTCCTCCGTGGTGGCGAAGCCGTTGAGTAGTTTCTGACGAGCAACGGGGGGCGGGGTGGGGGGTAGCGAGGCCGGAGGGGTGGGGGGGTTACTCAGATTATTCTGCTGTGGAGAGAGAGAGGAAAACATGAGTCACAAGGCTTCCTGGCTGAATCGAGTCTGTGCTGAAAGAAGCAATTTGCGTCTGTGAAAAGTGCTTTGCCCCCGGTGACTCCAGCCTTGATGTGAGTAATAATACATAATAACTCTTTATAATAAAAACGCCCTGAATTCAGCCGCTCTTGCCACTCGTTGCTGCTGCTGCTGCATTGTGAAGGACACATTAATACCTGCGGTTCTGACTTACTTTGTAAATGAGCTGGGAGTAATAATCCGACATTCCGTCCAATGAGGCGCTCCCGAACGCCCCCGACAGGCGGCTCTCTCCGTCCAGCTGCCCGCTGCCATAGGGCACAAAGTGGGCAAAGTTTACCCCAACCAGAGGCTCCATCAGGGGCAAGAGAGTGAGCTGCTGCTGCTGGGTACAGAGAGAGAGAGAGAGAGAGAGAGAGAGAGAGAGAGAGAAAAACCTTTACTATGCTTTAACAACACTGTACATTATGCAGTCAGACCAATAAAGCAAAAAAAAACAAGGGGGAAAGATTGAAAGAAAGTGAGGGGGAGAGATCTTCAGAGCAGAAGGAGTACTGAGGGGTGGGGGGGGGGTAAAGGAGGGAGAGAAGCAGGGGGCAAGGGAGGGGGAGGGGATGGGGTGAGAAAGTGAGAAAGAGCAAAGGAGAGAGTGAGGGAAAGAAACAATGGGAGAGAAAATGCATGAGGAGGGGAAGGGAAAGACAAAGAGGGAGAGAGGCGATATTCGGTGAGAATGGGGCAGAAAGAGTGACAGAGAGAAGGAGAGACATGGACAAGGAAAGAGAGACAAAGACAGAGCATGAGGGAGGGGCTGAGAGAGAGAGACAGGTGAAAAACAGATAAATAACTTCAGGATGTTGAGAGACAAAGATAAATTATTGATTATATTAGGAGAGGGTCCATCAGTGTCCACTGCAGTCAGATAGGTGTACAAGTGTCATTTACTCCGGGACAGTGAGTGACCACCACACCACAGCCTTTTCTTTTACTCAATGTTATATATGTATATATTCAATATAGGTGTCCTTTATTCCTCTTCTACTCTTTTTTTCCCTTCTTAATTACATAAACACATTTGATAATTCTGACGTATCAAATAGATTTTGTTTCATCATTGTATATACTTTTATATTATTAATTGATAACACTTTCTTTTCTTAATTGCTGTATTGTTATAATTGTTACATATAAATTAATCTTGGTTTTGTATTTTTTTATTTTACTTTTATTATATAGGTAATACTTGTAGTGCTTTGACAATACAAATGTAAATCTGTCATGTCAATAAAGCAAACTTAAACCAACCTCAACTGAACTGAGAGAGAGACAGAGAGAGGCATTTGGGGACAGAGAGATCGAGAGAGAGTGAGGAAGAAAAACAATGGGAGAGAAAATGCATGAGGAAGCATGAGGAAGAGAGAGAGAGAGGGAGGACATGAGGAACAGGGAGAGAGAAAGGGGGGGAGAGAGAAAAGGAGGGGGGATGGGGGAGAAAGGAAGGGGTGGAATGAGAAAGAGAGAGAGAGAGAGAGAGAGAGGCATTTGAGGACAGAGAACCCGAGATAGAGTGAGGGACAGAAACTGCGTGAGGAAGCATTAGGAAAGGAAGGAGAGAGAGCGAGCGAGCGAGAGAGAGAGTGTGAAAGAGAGACAGACAGATAAAGACGTGAGGGTGAGATAAAGAGCACAATAAGAAACGAGAAGAGGATCAGGAGTCTGGAGAGATGGGCTCTAGAGGTCCCAAGTCTCTGTAATTAATCTGGAGACAGGACGTCTTCATCTGCTCAACATGAGCATCTCAATCATACTGTTATCAAATATCTACCGGCAAGAAACCTTAAAAAACACTGCACAGGTACGAGCAACTTCAAACAAAAGTCTTATTTAATCAAGCGCCCCAGAGTTTAATCATACCCCACTGTCATCACTAACACCTAATCATCTCATCACAAACGACAGGGGAAATTTAGAGAAGCATCACTCTTCTTAAGAACTAAAAATCCTGTGAATTCAAATGTACCACAGCTTGATCAGGTATATGTTTCACCGCAAAATATTCAGATTACTGCAGTGAAACACTACAGGCTGCTACTACGAGCCTGCTTGTATTCCTCATTCATTACCTGCATTAAATAGTGATGATTTATAATGTGGGAGAATGGCGTCTCTGTCGTTGCACTCTGGGCCCACAACACCTGCTATAGCGCTATGTAACTTTGGAGGAGCAGGATCAAGACCTCTTGCGAGAACTGTGTAAAGCCTGGTTTATACTCGACGCATTGCAAACGTTCAGTAACTTCGGTTACCCACAGTTCTCTGGTTACGAACAACGTGAAAAAAACAAACAGCACCACGAAAATTATGCAAAACAACGCCATTGGAGCGAGCTTGTTTTAAAATGTAAGTGGTTCACATCCTTGAATTTGTCTTCGTTATCTTATAAAGTGTAAAATGACTGATTAAAATATTCATCCGTATATCGTATATCGCTCATATCTTGTATTTTATTTAGAAGTATTTGTATATATGTAGTTTATTGTACTACATAAGAACATCTCCTCCATTTCTGTGAAAAAATGAAAAAGCAACAAACATAATGCAACAGGCTCCATTTTCTCTCACCAGTTCTCTCACAAGTTCGACGCTGCAATTGCAAAAGGCGGGAACTTTCGGGTGACGTCACCATATATTGCTTTGTTAGGACTGTTCCACTTGTGTGAGAATAGGCTACTAAGGAGTCTTCATAGGACAGTCCTACTGAGGACCTGCCCTACCTCAGCTGCAGCCTGGGTTTGCAACCAGCTTCTCACATACATTAGCTAATCTATGTCTTGCAGCATCATCTTCTCACAGCCCACACCATCTAGTGTGATGATACACTAATGCTCAAATGATTGGAATCACTTGTCTTCATGTGCTTCGTTATTTTATTTATAATAATAACTCTAAATCTATAACACCTGCAGACTGCAATACTATAAACTAGACATCAAACTGCATTTTATATGTTTTAGTCAATATTTCAGTGAGTTGTGATAACATACAGTAATTACCTCAAAGATATTTGTCAAGTTGTCTGCCTTGAAATTTGATCACCATTTTTTAAATCAAATTTCAATTCAATTGGTTTTTATATATTTTTTTAGATGTATCACTGATTCCAAACCTTTAAACTGTAGTGCACACAGGCTGAAAGATGACACAAGACAGGCAGTTCAGTGTAACACAAGACAGACAAGCTCAGTGTAATTGTCTGTTCTGGCATTCAAACAATCTCACCTGTTTTAAATTGGCCATTATGGGCTCTGTGGACGGATAGATGACCTGTCTCTCATCTTCCTCCTTCTTCCTCTTCTTGGAGCGAGGGGCTGGGCGTTCTCCACTTTTGGGCGTCCTTTTGGTCCTTTGCTTTTTCTTGTCCTCAGACACTAAGGAGCCAGCAAAATCCGGATGGCCTGAAAGCTGGCTGTCTGAGTATGTCTGTGTGAAGGACAAACAAAAGATGTTGGAAATGACCCACTTATTTCTGTTGTCCATCCAAATCATGGGTTTAATATACGGGGTGTCCCCTGCAAATATTTACATGGCATTCGGCAGACGCTTTTATCCAGAGTGACTTACAACTTCATCAGTTTACACAGGCAAGCAACGGTAGTATTAGGAGTCTTGGTTAAGTGGTTTGTATAGTGTAGTGGCTAACTCCTCTGCCTTCTACGCTGTAGACTGGGGTTCAATCCCTGCCTGGGTAAGCACCCTACACTATACCAATAAGAGTCCTTGGGCAAGACTCCCAACACTACCTTCGCCTACCTGTCTAAAATGATCAAATTGTAATCCGCTCTGGATAAGAGCGTCTGCCAAATGCCGTAAATGTAAATGAGCCTTGCCCAAGGACTCATTGGTATAGTGTAGAGTGGTTACCCAGACGGGGATTGAACCTCAGCCTACAGCGTAGAAGACAGAGGTGTTACCTACTACACTACACCAGCCAGTAGAAGGCAAAAATATAAATATAAATAATGAATCAGATAACACATTCAGGTGCAATTGCACCTTCAGAGGACATAAATGAGTAATGTTTGCTTATCTGAGCATGAACAGCATTTTTGTTTAGTTGGAACACTTGCAGTTGAAGCCAACAGTATTGAGCAACCAACAGATTAATAAAAAGACAATTTAGGGAATTTTTAATGGTGGGAATAGTCATCAAGCACTACTATGTGGCACCAGAATGTGAAATACAATGGTAACTTTGTCTGGTTAGGTAGATAATGCTAATGACATTAGCATTAATGCTACCACCGTATTTCTGTCAATTCCAATCAAAATTTAATTCATGGCCTTGAATCAAACTGGCTCAAGCGAGTCATGTGGAAAGGACTTTATGTTTTTGTAACAGACGAAAAAGAAAAGCAAGTTTAGCCATTCTCACTTACCCCTGTGCTGTCTATGGAGCTCTGTCTCAGCAGAACCTTGCTGTCAGCGGAGGCCTCCTCTTCTGATCTCAAACTGTCCTCAGACTTCTGGTGGGGCAATACAGATGGAGGAGTCCCTTTATTTTTCAGCAGGTGTTTCAGGAGCTCATTACCACCTTCTCCTTTGGAGCTGCTTGCTGGACTTTGGCCTGCAGGAAGGGGTGACATGCCTCCCTTCTCCACTTCCACCTTCACCATACCCAAGCCCATATCCATATTGGTTCCCTTTGGCCCGTGGCAGTCACTGGCCTCTATCCTCTCCATTTTGATGTTACTTAGGATCCTGTCCTGGATGTCCTGTTGACCCATAGTCAGCTCAGCTCCTACACAACTTCCTTCAGAAAGCTGCCTCTCCAGCTCAGAGTGGGGCTGGCTGCTCTGGGAGCCTGGGGTGGACGATCCAGGCTGGGAGGTCTCGCACATCTCATGCTCTCCAAAGAGCAGGGGATTCCTCGTGGGTGTGGACGATGTGTCTGAAACACAGGGCGTCAGTGGGGCAGTCAGGTCAGAGTGAGGAGTGGATGGTGCCCTCAAGGACTCTGTGTCATCATCCTTCTTCTTCTTGCGGCTCTGTTTTTTCTTGCCCTTCTCTTCTGGGATAATGTTGGAGTAGAGCTGAATCAAGGAAGGACCAGAACCTGGGAAGTTTGGGGGCAGGGGCATAGTTGACTCTACCCCAAAAGGATGTCCCTGTCCTGGGTTTTGAGGTACCATATTAGGTCCAGGGAATCTTGGAGGTCTAGGTTGACCCTGAACAAAGTTAGGGCCACCATGCAATACTTGGTTGTCTAACCCGAAACCTGGTCTTACTTCCTGAGGAAAGGGCCCATTTCCCATTATAGGTCCTGAAGGAGGTCCTCCAAGTCCAGGCTGCATGCCTTGCATGCCTTGCTGCTGGGGGAACCCTGGCCCTTGGATTTGCTGCTGAGATCTATGTGGCTGCATGAAGTCTTGAGGCAAATTCTGGTTATAGAAAGGCATTTGCGAGAGAGTCCTCATATTTCCATCTTGACTGATTAGACCTTGCTGCTGCTCCATTTCCATGCGCTGTTTCATGCGTTGTCTCTCCACCTCCTTCATCAGCTGCACCCTTTGCCTTTCCTGCTGCTCACGCAGCCTCTCCTTCCTCTCTCGCTCCTGGAAACTTTCACTGAACGGGTTGGTGTCGTCAAAATTAACATGAGGAGACTCACCACTGGACTGTGCCTGACCAGCCCTGGCTAAAGCTGGTGGAGGAGGCTGGCCTTGCATCATCTGAGGAGGCATCACACCGGGCATTTGAGGTCCAACATGGCCTGAAGCCCCAGGGTGCCAGGCTGGCATGCTGGGAGCATTTGCCTGTCCAGGATGGACCTGCATGGGCATGGCAGGACCCATCAAAGCTTGGCTGACAGGGCCTGACGGCACCATGCCCGGATGACCCTGCATTGGCAACATGCCAGGCATCATTTGAGGCTGCATGCCACCCTGCTGCTGCTTGACCCTGTACTCCTCTATCAGCTCGGCATGCTCTTTCTGCTGTTTCCGGATCTACGGCAAGACAGACAAGATGTTTTGTCAATGGCTAAAAGGTCAAGAACCATATCGTACAATATAGTAAGACAAAGACAAGAAAGGATGTAAACAAAATCCACAAGAAAACTGCACAGACAGAGAATGTAAATAATTTTAGTACTGGAGAAAGTACTAAATAAAAAAATGCACAGTAATTTACAGCAAATGAGGTTGCTGGTGATAAAAACTGTGTGTAACAGGTGCCTATGGCCACATTACCTGCTCCAGCTGTTTCTGCACCACACCCTGCTGTTCTGTCACATGTTTCAGCTGCTCAGCATCCTCTTCAGGGAACTCCCGCCCTGCTTTCTTAGCAGTCCTTTGCTTAGCGGACAGGGCTTTCTTTGATTTCCTGTGGGCTCCAATCTGCTCTTCCAAAAACTTCTGCTGCATCTGAAGAAGCTTCTGCGTCTCACGAAGCCAGTCTTCATACTGTACTTTCTGGGCCTCATCTGAGAAAGTTGGGAGAAAAAAAATTATGCACTCCATAATTCTGACTAACTACATATTTTTGTGGAAATGAATGATGTCTTGAGGACACAAAAATGGACCAGATGTTGAAATCTACAGTTAGCAAATGCTTACTGGTAAATCCTTGTCCAAAACTCGGAGGACTGGGCCTTGTCATGTATGCAGCCAGCTTGCCATCCTGAAAGAAATGAGAACACCATTATTATAATCGTAATTAATTACATGAGTATGAATTATGAGACAAAAATGACAAAACGAGAATCAGATCATTGCTCCACCTGTGGCACTGCTTGCTGCGGAGGAATACATCCATCTTGACCTTGTGGGCCCTGCCCTTGTTGAGGAGCCACTGGAAACCTGAAAAAAAAGAAAGACCGCAAGAATGAGAGAAAACAGGAAAAAAACACACAACAAATTTTAATTCAGAAGGAATTCAAAGGAAAGTTTAACAAATTGTTGCACGACAGACTCAAGTAACAAATATATTCATAGATCATTTTAAATCTAAAAATACATGCCAGTTGATACACTTACTTGTTCATGACCATTTGAGACATTCCCATGTTGTTTTGAACCATTACTTTATTAATTCCTTTCAGGGCCACCATCTTTGCTTTCATGATAGGATCAGTAATGGCATCAAAATCTGAAGGAAAAAAAAACATTTTTTTTTCTTTTGGACAGATCATAAAGTGTAATCCCAACCAAAAGCATTTTTTTCAGTGAAAGTAAAAGAAATATAGTTTTGTACTAAAGAATGTTATCAGTTTTGTTGACAAACACTTCTTTTTAAACGGTCAAAATAATTATTGTGGCCAGTTTAGCCTTTTCAGCACCCCTCTGGTTCAACTCTGCAATTGGGGCACAAAGATAATTCACACAATCTGCAAAAACACAAGACAATATAATATGTTTTTTCATCTTCTTTTCGCTTGTTTCTACCATAAAATTACCATCACTGCAATAATGCAAATTTCCGCTAGCCCATCTGTGGAATTTTCACTGTTATAAGGGGTAAGCTAACAATGACGAATGTGTTATACTTCTACATTTTACCTATGTTAGGGAAGAAAGAGTCACTGGACCGCTGTCTGATCATGGCTTGCATCTGTTTCTGCTGCTGCTGTTCCTGCCTCTCTTGATCCAGAAGGTCCTGCAAGAGGAGCGGCTGCTCCTCCAGTAACAGTGGTCTATTCTGCTGGCCCTGCCCGGACAACAACGCTTGTTGGGATTGAGAAAGCATACCAGTCTGTTCCACTGAAAGCAGAGCATCCTTCTGATCCACTCCAAAAATGGGACCTGAGGACTGGTCCTGAATTGTGCCTGGGATGTCTAAAGGACCCTCACTATGAGAGGAAACCAGTGATGGATCTACAACCATGCCAGGATTTATCCCCTGCACAGATATGGCTCCTTGTCCCAGCAGAGTGGAACTGACAGTCTGTTGTAGCCCAGGTTCCTGGAGTTTGCTCTGAGCCACTGATTGCCCACAGCTGTCTTGTTTATGTGATTCATTATCTGGTGGAACGTTGACCAGTAAACTGGAAAGCACTGGAGTGGCATCGGGGTGAATACCAGGCTTTGGGATCTGTGAAATGGCATCAATACTTCCATAATCTTCTTGATTAATGGCTTTAGTTTCATTTATTTGATTTTTGCAAGAGGCCTCATGTGACAAACCATCTTTGACCTCAATTTTGATATCTTTTTCTGACTTCAAGGATCCCTGATTCGGAGAAACCTCTTTTTTTATGTGACCCGGGGACTGCTCAGGTTTGTCCCCAGTTTTCCCTTCTGCAGATGTGGAATTGGAAGGTAAGGAAGTGTCATCTGAAGAGTTAGTTTTTTTCCCTGTTTGTGACTTTTGGGGCTCAGAGGTTTCAGTGTGGTCATCAATGGGATCATTGAGATCCAAGTCCTCACTAAGGTCTAGATCAGCATCAGTGTAGGCAATAATATCAAATTTCCCAGATGTCAAGAAAATTTCTTCCAGGTGCAAGTCGTTAGTCTCCAGATCCAGGTCTTTTCCATCATCTGTGTCAAGATTCAGGTTCTCTAAATCTGTATCAACAAGGTCCTTGACCTCCACATCTTCAAGATCCTTCACAGCTGATTCATCTGCATCAATCTTTTCTTCAGACCCTTCATTTGTAGGTAAAACAACATCACTGTTCTGCCCAGCAGATACTGCAGGGAAAGCTGATGAAGCAGGACCACTAAACGTCTCATTTGAAGCAGGTTGGCTCATTGACCTCATGAGTGGAATTTGTGGATGTCCAGTTCTTAAAGGAACACTGGGTTGATGCAAGCTTTCCATACTCATCGTCCCCTGCAAATCTGCAACTACTCCCTGAGTTTGAGTTATAGCTGGATCCACTGGTTTAGGACCCTGGTTGGCCGGAAATCCCATTTCTTGCCCACTCGTTAAACCTGGGGGTCGTTGAGGTTGTGTGGGTGATTCCATTCGGTTTCCCTGCATAACAGGACCTGCAAAGGGAATCCGGAGCCTGGCTTCAGGAGGTCTGTGTCTAAGTTCTATAAAGGGTTGCCCCATGATATTGTGCTGCTGCATGTGCATGCCTCTAGGTGGCAAAGGCTGGAGTCCCATGGGGTTGCCTCCTAATGATTTCCCCAGATCTATAGACATGGACCTTCTCATCTGTGGATGACCTTCCATCATTGAGTCCTGCATCTGATGAGGTCTTAACCCTGGGCCTTGAACACCAGGAGGGAAGCTTAACCTAAGACCAACAAGAAAAGTTAATGATTATTAAGACTTCCACAAATCTATTGACATTCACTATTTAAAACTGTGTAATTTTATGGCATAACTTAAATATACCCACCTGGGTCCTGGTTGTCGGATGTTATTAGTGTCCCCAGGAAACTGAGGTTTGGGAAACTGACCATCAGGGAAAGACCCTCGTGGATCTCCTGGATATGGCCCATGGAACCTCTGAGGGCTCCTGACAGCACCTGGGCCAGGATATGGTGGAGGTGGCCGATTAAATAGGTCACTGGTCTGCTGACCCTGGGTTTCCTGACTCCAGTGTTGAGGGGTACCTGGAGGCACGTTCACAGGCTGCTCTTGTGCACTCTTCTCTTGACGAATAGCACTTTTCTGCTGCTGCTGTCTAAGGATCAGCTCTCGAATACGCTGACGCTGTGACAAAAACAACAAATACATTATCAGGAGCTATCAGCTTATTTTTTTACTTTATTATGTACATTAAGACAAGATTTAACATATATGTAAATTTAAAAGTACCTGTCTCAGTCGTTCTTCAGCCTCTGCAAGAGGGACAGTCTGAGCTTCGGTGTTGGGCTGCCCTACTGCTATAGCACCGTGTCCCAAACCTTGCTGTTCCCTGCTTTCCGGACACTGAGGGTGAGGGTTCATGGGCACCTGCTCAAATGGGTCATGGACCGGTGTGTGGCTTGGCTGACTGGATGGTGACTGGGACACACTGTTTTCATCTGCCATACCAGGATGTCTCGGAGTCTGAGACCCTGGCATTGCTGGACTGGCAAAAGCATCCTGCATCAGTGCTTGAGGTGGTGAAAATGAATCTTGACCAGGCATGGGTCCTGGTCTTATAACCTGTCCTGCACCTCCGGGATGAGGTGTTCTAGGGGGTTGTGCATATGGATCACTAAGTAATGCCTGAGAGGCACCTGCTGGCTGTGTATGAGGATCTGCACCTATTTGCCGTGACATTCCTGGGGGGTGATTAAATGGGTCTTGGTTCCTTTGGTAATTTTGGGACTTGAGGAACCTTTCTGGCATGCCTGGGTGTGGTGTCCCAGGAGGCTGTGCATAAGGATCCATTGACATGGGAGACAGTATGCGATTCTGAGTCTGAGTTTGCTGGGGGGGTTGGTTCATGATGACAGGATGAGAAGTGGCAGACTGGTGAGCATAGGGTTCAGGGTCATGTGGTCTGGGTGTGCCAGGCATTCGAGCATATGGGTTAGAAAAGGGAGTCTGGGAAAAGGGATCACACTGAGAGTAATCTGGCCTTGGGGTGGATGGGGTACGTGCATATGGATTCCCAGCAGACTGATGTGCCAACGGACCAGGTTGTGAAAAAGGGTGGGCCTGAGGCTGCCGTGTGATTCTTGCTTGATTCTCATAGCCATCACCCATCACAGGATGTGGAGTGAGAGGGGGATGTGCATATGGGTCATTCTGTTGACTTGAAAATGCCTCTGTAGAACGAGGTGGCATCATTGGTCTTTCAAAGGGATCTCCAATTGGTCTTCTTGAATGGATTCCTGTGTTTGACTCCTGAGCTTGAGGTGGAGGCATAGGGGTTTTGAAGAGCTGAACAGACCCTGACTCATTACTTCCTGGGATAGGAGCGAGAAGGGGACGGGCATAGGGATCTGAAAGAATCATTCTGCCTTGAGGCATTCGTGGATAAGCTTCTTTTCTCACAGCTGCCCTGGAAAATGGATCATGTCCTGGAGAGCCAATCAGGTGCCTCCCTTCCATGGCCTGACTAGACCTGGGAGGACACATAGGCTTGAGAAAGGGATCTGTTGGTCCTGCTGGCCTTGGTGTGTCCGGAGGCTTGGCATATGGGTCTATGTTGAGGGCTGTTGGTGAACCGATGGGTTCATGAACAGATGAAGCCTTCCCACATTCTTCTGAGAGAATCCTAGGTGATTTCCCAGATTCCGAATTCCGACGGGCAGCAGCCGGGCCACTTGGTGGTGGTCTTGGTGTGCCCACCATTTTAGTATAAGGGTCCCAAGGTGAAGACGGTCTAGAGCCAGAAGAGCCTGGAGAGAACATCTGTGGTGACTGTGGCTGGGATCCTGATGAAGGGGGTGGAGGATGAGGACGCAGAAAGACATCATCTGGGGAACCTGATGTGGGGGTTCCTGGAGGTTGTGGCTTAGAGAACCCATTCTTGGAACCAGACTGCATAGGAGACATGTTCCCGTTGCTGTTCTGCGACGAGACTGGACTCTGAAGGCTACCAGATGTGTCCATTTCAGACGGACCTCCTTTGAGGTGCTGCTGCTGTTGCTGCTGCTGAAGCTGCTCATTCTTCACCTGTTCAAGTTTTTGTGTAGCTTCAATTTTGGCTTGTTGTTTACTTTTTTGTCTCATTTGCTGCAAAATAAACAAAATAATAATGTGCTTAGATGATGTTTTTTTATTTAGCAGAGAAAGCAGCTTAATTTCAAATTCCTAAAAACCTGACACCCCTTAAAAGAATGTAACAGTAACAAATCATTGTAACCACAGAAGATATTTTCTGTTAAAGGTCTCTCACAACTTCATTGCTTCTTTTTTTCCCCATCTTTCACTAGTTCTTAGCAAATAACTACATGTAATTCATCTAATTCGCATGTTCTCTGAGCGCTGTCTACTTTAAGCTTCTCTCTACTTTCAAAGCAAATACAAATGGTTCAGGAAAGTTTATTATAACGGTCTTTCAACCAAGCATTTCCAGTTAAACACTGCTGTACAATCCTTGTCTCATTTCAACCCTGCCACTGTGATATTCATCGAATACCTGTGAGATGTTTAGAGATCACAAAATTAAACAATACAGTTTTAATACACAGTTCTATAACCTAAGAATAGCTTAGACAGTTTGCCTTGAAGTTCCTGAAGTTACTTAATAATAAGACTTAGTATGTAAGAAGCCTGGGATTTTAAGGGGGTATGCATAGGAATAGCTCCATGGCCACATAATTAAATTAAATTATGGAGCTACCCTTTTGTTGTGAAATAAATACTTTATACATGCAAAAAAGCATGCAACTGTAAACAAGTTGTACAAATTGTGCACAGCATTAAACCTAAAAGCATCAAAAAGTCTCCTGGATTGTTAATATCCAACAGCTGTAGAATGCAGACTATTTCAATGCTCAGGTAATGAAACAATGATAAAGACATAACGATAATGAGGTCATAAAAAAATCACAGCTTTTTAGAGAGATGAATTCTCTAGGCTTCAGGCCTAACGTGAAACAGACTGAGACTTTGCGGTCTGTTCTCAGTATCTCCATAGAGCAATAACTAGAATCTATAGGCTCATGACAGTGCACTCATAATATGGCTACAGGTGAAATGGACAACTACTAAAAGCAGCTGTCTTTGAATCATCATTACAACTGATAGAATGGATTCCTCTAATAACAGAAATGACTCATCAGGTGAGGAGGAAAAGCTTAAAGATAAATTTAGGAAAGTAGATCTAGATATAGAGTATGAATATAAATTTTGCTGTGGCGTATTAACGTCCTTTCCAATAGCCACTAAAAACTTTTTGCAAACATATTTTCCAACCCTTTGCATATTTAACATACACTCTTATTCAGAGAGATAAGAACGGCAGTTGTGCTGCTCACAGACTCTGTGTGGATAGAGAATCTAACCCGGTCTTCCAAGTGTGGGGGCAGATTCTTATTCAGTTTGTTAGCCAACTGCTCTAGCTTTAGTAATTGCTTCTTAATAATTTTCACATCCAGGTACACTGTATTCCACAGGCATTCTACAACTGAAGTGTGTCTTTGACAAAGGAAAAAGCTATTTTATTTGCCGCTCAAGGTGGGAGTTACACGTGGTCATATTTATTAGACTATAGTTACCAGGCTAGTAGTCAGGATTAGCTGACACCACAGGGATTCCCAACAGCTGTATTACATATTTGCATAACGCATGCTGAGTATTTTAGTGAGAGAACAATGTGGAACAAAAACAGGAGAATTATATAAAATTGTGAATTATGTTAACCTGATAAGGCCAATGACAAATACCATCTTAAATAACCATTTAACACCATGAAATTCAAATACAGAATAATGACAAGACGGTATTATGCAACACTGCCTAAAGCAACCCAAATGTTAAGAAGAGCCATTTTATCCTTTCAACAAAAACCAAACCACCTTAGAAGCCACAACATTTTATGTCCATATTAACATCCTCGCTGTAAAAATGTCTCAGTATGTGCTGATGTACTAGTATAGGATACAAAATATAAACCAAAACGCAGACTTACTTTGCTCTGCTTTAAACTTTAGCTCAGCTATCATCGTTTTTCTCGCATATCTGGCAGGAAACTTTTTCACAAAAGTTGAATAGTTTCTTTAAAATGTCTCTCAGTGTTAGACTTTTTACGAGGCTGGAGTCGCTTCTCATTCACCAGCTTTCATTTTCACCATTCCACCTTAAATGGTGCCTGAGGCGCCACAATGTAGCTGCGTTGCACATCAAATGTATCAGGAAAACAGCTAGAGTGCTTATAAATGCAAAAAAGTCTGTCCTTTCGTCTCTAAATTACCAACATTCGTCTTAAATCTCTCTCTTTGTCTTTCGTTAGCTACTAGCTAGGGGAGATCGTTGTCCACATTGCTGTGACCAGCACTCTGCGCACTGATCTTCAGGGTAAAAGGGTGATTTAGCAGATACAGGCTACATTAAGAGTCCAGAGTTTCGCCCATTTATTGTTAAAACTTTGTTGAACGATCAGCAGAGCTTTATTTTACTGCAAAAGATGATTTTATTTTTACCTAAAAATCTCATTCTGCTGTGGAGCTCTGGAGCTGCATGTTGCCGACCCCTGGCTTAGAGTAATGCAGTTTCACTCATTAAAAGTATCTTCAGTCAATAGTTTCAACTTGTTATCGAATATTTTCCAAACAGGCAATGAGTAATCACTGCAGACGTACCTGTCTCAGCTTCCATTCCTGCTCCTGTTCTGATTCCTTGTGCTTCAGCGGGTCCTTGAACAGGAGTTCAGGGTCCAGAGGGGGAATGGCAGGGTCAAAAACTTCCAAAGCCTGCGCGACCTGGGGCTGCTGCTGCTGCTGCTGCTGCCTCTTAATTGTTTCATTAGACATTTGCACTTTGTTGATGCGAAGGGCCGCCCTGTTATCCCGGGCCTTTTGCTGTAAACAACACACAGGTGACGCTCATACCAAGTCTTCTGTTAAACAATACTAAGCTTATTAGGCTAATCAGCTTCATTACTTTCAGTACTACATTTACCATGTAAACAACAGTGTAGATACCTAATCATAATTGTCACGTTCTCAAATCCTGCTCCACAACAGTTATTCTGTAAGTTGGTAGAACCAGCCCTAGTGACGGACACTGTGATTGAAGGTTATTACTGGACGATCTGCTCATGTGTTATATCTTACCACATACGGGGCCCTGTCTTGAGAACTTGCTTTCCTCCACAGCTTTGCAATTTGTTTCACTCGGGTTTGCCAATCTGTGGAATGAATTTTAAATGCAAGTGTTATTAAAAAAATAAATAAATACGAGCCCACTGATCAAAACAGACGGATCGTTATATACGCACCTGGGTATTCCTCTTTGAGGTTGGGGAAGTTGACATTAGTGTAGAGGACCGGGGCCACAGTAGCGAGCTCTCCCAACGTCTCCTCTTTCTCCCACTTCAGCGTGCTCTTCTGGGCCGTGGATAAGGAATCCCCCTCTCCCTCAGGGACGGGGGCAGGAGGGGGAGCAGAAGCTGGACCTGGACCGGTGGCTGACCATGGGCCAGCTGCATCCTGAGCCATCTGACTAAACTTCCTCTCCCTGTTCAGTACAGAAAATACCCTGATGCATTTTGTGAGATCCAGAGCATTCGCAATACAATGAACTATATCGCTGTCGTCGGAAGAAAAAAGACGTATCTCCAATTTTGACGTTTCTCGGTTTTTGACATAATTTGAAAATATCTGTTACCCTTTACATTGTATCTATATTTCATGATGAATGGACTAAAAGAAATGACCCAAAATGACATGGAAAAAAGGTCTGGTTCCATTGACTTACATTAAAAAAGAAAGTATGTTTTTTCTTTCTTCTGTAAAGTTATCATTTTGGAGATACAAGGTTTTCCTTCAACAACAGCGATATGTATGTTACATTGAATTGAATCAATGTCCAAAACACATGTAAAATTACAGCATAAAGGGACCACGCATTCTGTGTTTTTACTGTAATTTATTTTGTCCCGTGAAGTGCACTTATAACGTGGTTTTCAGTACCAAAAACAGTAATTTATTCTTAACTGACTTTTCCAAATGCTATTTGTCCCTTACAATTAATCAGCCTGTTATTATTATCGCGGCTATTAAGACTGATATATGTAAATTAGCTTGTTTCCGACTGGCTTTTCTGATTATTTTTGTCGTTTACTTTCCATACACGGACCGTAGGCAGCGGGAAGTGAACAGTATGCTCTGAAACTTTAACGATGTTTACACAGCACATTAAAACTCCTTTGTCACAAAAAAAGTAATGTAAGGAAAATATTTTTTTTTTTCCATGTCATGATTTTTCATTTTTTGGCACTGATCTGTAGCACAGCTGGTCAGCTGACACTGATACTAAGACATGCAAAGCTCACCTCAGATTGTCAGGAAAAGGCATGCGTTGCATGGGAGGGAAGTTTCGAGGCATGTTAGGCCCTGCTCCAGGAGGCATCTGTGAGGGAGGGAACTGCTGATTGGGTGCCATCAGACCATTCATCACTGGCATCCGGGGGAACATTCCTGTGTGGAAGGAAAAACATTTTTTAACCAATTTAGCCAAAACGTATCATTTTCTGAACCTTTTTTAAAAAAAAAAAGTCAACTTGCAACTTCTTAATGGAAAACGCAACGACAAAGTGAACAGCACACTCTGAATTTGAAAAACTTGCAAATTTAGACGTATAGTCTTGAGCTTTCCTACAAGCGTTGAAGAAGCTTCTTAACGTAAATAATGTAGGGTTAATAACGCCAACAATAAATTATTAACCGCATTATTGTTATTTATTTATTTTTTTACACCATTAATGCCTTTTCCTAGTTTATCCCTTCAAACCATCGGTAGTAGTGGAGGCTGAAAACCAGCCACAGTGTGCCGTATGTTGCCACGACAGAATCCGCATTTGTACCGATCTTGTTCAAATACAGCTTTTAAATGGCTTTTAAAGCGACACCTTCAACACCTTCAGCAGGCAAAGTGTTTACAGAGTTCCACTGTAACAAGAATCTATGAGCTGAAGGACAGCAAGAGGCTACAGTAACAAAGGAGTTGGAATCACTGACTGCATATATGATACATATATGATATATACACTCAATGGGAAAGCATCAAGACTGATACTGTTATGGGGTATTAGGTTGATAATGTGCTCATTTACTCATAAAAATTCACCGATACCAACATTCTGATACTCTGCTTGAACAGAGAAGTGTTTCTGACTCCATGACAGTTGGATCACTTAAACATTTCGCCTTGGTATATTCTCGACAGACCTACACTGTGATTTTAGCACGTTATTAAACACACAATCACACCCGCTTCCCCCGTATGGGTGGAGACACTTAGTCCAGCCAAATGGAGGCAGAAAAACATGACATTTCTCTCCAATGTCCACTTATGCTGACTTTACTCTGTTGGACTGAATAGAATAGTGAGGTAGGAACATTAATACAGTGATTTTGTTACAAAATAGGCTGCAGAGAGACTGTACTGTCCTACCATCGCTGTCTGCTTTAGCATCAGTGCACAGTGTTAGCAGCACTGCTCCCAGCGTTTCTGCTCAGTTCTCGGAGTCCAGTGTGTTATTTTAAATGAACCAGCTTTATTTGAAACTGTTCATAGACAGAGCTGCCTGTAGGGGCTGAGTTTCATGTCACGGACTGTTTTCATACAGTGTTGTCACACAGCTTTCTCTTCACATGATGGTCTATTCAAACGTATGGCGTGAGGCACCAAAGAACAAGACTTTAAAAATCCCACAGTGCATGTCTGGCTTTAGAGGACATTAACTACAGCTCAACCAGTCAAATAAAAGACTCAGAGAAGACATAAACCGATGAGCTTCTCGGATGTGATTCTCGCTGTCACTGTGCTACAGAGACCGTTGTTGAAAGACAGATGAGGAGAAAAACTACAGCTGTACAGAAGTGCTTTCCAGATGTGGAACAAAACCCACTCTTCTCCATTGCAGCGCTACTCGATCCAAGGTAGCGTTAAATAATATAGTAATAAAATAGCACAGCTAGCTAATACACATCATTTAAAATCTGTTAAGGTACATTAGATTCACTTACACTAACAATTACTGAATTCTGAGTAGGTCACTCAGTGTGGTATCAGACTCTGTCTTGGCAAGTACTAAAAATACGTGCTTGGTTTGAAAAACGTTATCGATGCATCCCTAGACTGTATATATTATACAGAGTGATTCAAAAAGATTTATCCGATTTCAAAGCGCCATATTTTTACAACTATGAGGCGTCTAGGAACCAATCACAATCCAATTGAAAGAGGGGGTCATAGAGTTTCTGATTGGCTCCCTTCAGTCTGCGAGGAGATGAGACCCCTGAGCAGAAAGCGTTCTGCGTTCTCCACTTCAATAAGAGTGAATCCGTCATAACTGTGCAGTGTGATTTTCATGGGCAGTGAAGCTCCAACAGCTCAGAGCGTTCGTCGTTGGTTCCACAACACTGGATGATCTCCGAAATCGCACTGAAAGAGCCGTGAGTGCAGCGACACCCGACATGCTCAATCGAGTATGGGGTGAATTTGACTATGGCGTTGATGTTGTCCGTACAGCTGGAGGAGGTTCATATTGAGCACTTATAAAATTACATAATAAACTTTATGCTCAATTAAACCATTTACAGTTTACTGCATTGCTCTGTAATGATTTACAAGAGAAATAAATCATTTTGAAATTAGATGTACCTTTTTGAATCACCCTGTATATGTGCTTTATACACTAATTGGTTTGAACGTGCAGACACTGTTGCTCTCACTTGACGTTGGTAATGAAAACAGGAAAGCGTGTTCACTCTGGAAATCACATGATATTCAGATAAATGTGAAAACTGCATTCACACAATAAAAACATTATTGGGTTTTATTAATTATAAATAAATTATTGGGTGATTGTTTCGCACCAATAACAGAAGAAGCTGTTTGTCATGGAACACTGAATGATCATTTGTAAAAGAAGAGGAAATGAAAAAGACATAATGGCTGGATTAGTTGATTGATTAAATACCAGTTGATACAGTTTATAGAAACTGTTGTCAGTAGAAGCCGTAAAAAGTAAAGTAAATATGGTGGCAAACCTGAGTTGAGCTGAGAGGAAGGCAGTCCAGGGCCCGGAGGCACATGTAGAGGGTGATTTCCCTGGGTTTGATGGGGCACCTGAGTGCTGGGGCTTAGGACAGCTGTGAACAAGTCTTCAACATCCTTTCCTTCCAGCTCTGTGTGAAGAAACTTCAGTTCATACCTTTTTTCACAAAGTATGTGAAATATTTCTCATAATTAACCACAGCTGACAAACTGAAAAACAGCATACCTGGAATTTTATACAGCTTGCTTAAAATGGACTCTGTAAGGTTAAAGAGAGAGAGCATGTAAGGCATCAGACTGCTTTTTAGTATGACTTTAACTCTGACTTTAACAGTGAATTTGAAGAGACCTGGGGCCATACTACAGAAAAAAGTCTTAAGTCTGAGATCATGTCTTATCTGCTTTGTTGTCATGGCAACTTCAGTTAAGACTGAAGTTAGGACAGAAGCTATTACAGAACAACAGTTCTTAAGTCTATAATCTTATCTTATTTCCAAATAAGAAAACTGTATTACAGAAACATCTTAAGTTGCCAAAATATCCTAAATATTTTCTTAACTTTAAGAGTTTTTGTTTTAAACTGCGTTTTTTAAGAACTCAGACGCTGCAGACTCGATCTCCACCGTCCCTCTGATTACCTTCGTCTGTTAATGTTGATGATGAAATATTACAGTGATGGTGGTGAATAATGAGGAGACGGAGCTGAACGTGTGTCTGTTTATTAGGAGGAGTAACGTTAGCGCGCTCGGCTAACGAGTTTGGGAAATGGAGACTGAAACTGAAACGCTCTGATAAACAGCATGAAGCGCTGGCACAGTATTCCTAGCTTTCAGTTTATTGCAATTTCTTTTTATTTGGTCTTTTTACATCAGTAACGGTAGCTAATGTTAGCTGTCTGGCTAACTAACTTGATTACGTGTTTACGTTTCAGCTGGTCGGTTGCTAGGCAACAGACACGACAGTTGACTGTTGACTTCAATCGAATAAGCTGAGGTTTCCTAACTTGACAAAAGATGCTGTAAGATACGATTCTTAAATTAAGGTCAGATTTGCTTCTGTAATACGAATTTGTAAAAAAACCTTATTTTAAGTTGAGAAAAAAAGATAGGAAGATTCTGTAATACAGCCCCTGGTCATTTACTGACCATCTGTGACCATCTTGTCCAGTTCAGGGCTGAGAATGCCGTCCAGTGGCTCTTCCGCTACCTGATGAGGAGCACGACCGGGGTGAGACTGAGAAGAGGCTGAGGCCTCTTCCGCAAGAGGAGCAACGTCCAGTCCAGCTGAGGGGGGGGAAAGAAATCTTAATAGAAATGAAGAGCTGAAGAGCAGGACAAACAAGGTAAAACAAGCTGCACAACAAATATATACATGTATATTTTTCTGTGAAATTAATAATCAAGAAACTAACATCACAGTTCAGACAAATATATATAAATTATACGCTTGACAGAAGACAATTCAAAACTTCAGATTCTTTAACTGAGATCAGTTTTGGGAAACAGAATCAATACAGAAATACAGATTCTAAAAATATAAACAGCTGGTGAATTTCTATAGGAAGTTTCAGTTGGAGCGATTTTCTCTGTCGCTCAGAGGGGTTAAAGCATAATTTTGTCAAAATTTGAAACTCCAATTATAGTTTGGCTTCCTTCTTTCCCATTCTATTTCTGAATCAGAGCTGGTAAATTAAAAATTTTTGTACAGCAACCAGCTATGCTACTAACATGAAACCAAACACTAAACACCTAGTGATGGCCTCGCTATGTTAGCTAGTCATGCAGCCATGGTCAATATAATAAGGCGCAGCAATAATGCAATCAAAGACTGCCTTTTGTTTTGCAGTGTTTAAAAATCCAGCAATACAATTTTCAGATTCTGACCATCATAGGAATGTAAACGATCAATCATTAGCTGACAAAAGCGCTGTTCTACCAGTACTACAGGGTAAAAAGCTAAATTCAAAAAAAGCTTCATTTTATTTTATTTACAAAAAACAATATTTTCTATTTGAATAGGCAGATTTAATGGTTCAAGATTTGAAATGTACACATGAAGGTGCAACAGAAACTTTTGCTAGAGGACGATCATATCAAAAGCCAACATCCGCAAGCGATAAGACCGAGAACTATTTGGTCCATGGTCTCCGAGAGAAAGTGGTGGACGGCAACGGCTTTTGAGAATTACTGAGGTACACTTGGCCTAACCTGCCCCGGTCATGGCACTTATGTTCATTTTACTTGGGCTAGTAATGAGTGCTATGTATAACTTTAGAAAACAATATGGTAATTCCGTAACACTTTACTGTAGGTACGGCAAAGTGCGGCAAAGTCTGTGTCATGTAGTCTTTGTGCGGCAAAGACTACATGACACCGACACAAGCTTGTCATAACAACTGACATAACTTTACATAAATGTTTATAAATGCTTATTCCAAATAGGAGTCATTCAATATAAACGGTATTTTTGCCAATTCTGATCTAAGTAAGCTAAAGTAGCATTTATGATAGATGACGCCTATTGGAATAAGCGCTTACAAACATTTATGCAGAATTATGCCTGTAGTCACAACAAGCTTGTGTCGATGTCATACAGCCTTATGAAGAGCACCCTACAGTAAATTTCCAGTATTTTCATCAATTTGAACTTATTACAGTTGGCAGCTTCTCACTTTCAACAAAAAGCGGGTTTTTATGTACGTATATTAAATATGGTTTTGGGCTTTTTACTTCATATATACCCCGATGTCTGGTTCCAGGTTTCATACAAGGAACGGTTTTTAATATCTTCATGCACTAATACAGAATTCAATTTTAATAAGTGTGCACTTTAGGCCTGGGCGATATCAAAGAATAATTAGCGTGATATTTTCCAGTTCACAATTAATCGATAATAAGCCCCCCCTCCCCCACACGCCTCAAAACAAATACACGGCAGCTTTAACCTACGGTCGTTACAGCAGCGTTTTCTTAATTCATCCAACCACCGAGACACTTAATCTGTACAGAAAATACTGCACACTTTACTCAGTAAACCATGGGGAGACATGGGGAGTTTACCAGAGCTTTTTAAGGTCCCATTAATACTCAGCGTTTTAAGAGTAAAAGCAAATAAAACATTATGTACACATTTTATTAAATACTATTTATTACCTTTTTCTGAGAACACCGGTCACAGACAAGGATCAGAGGAACTTTCTCTCCAGGTTAGAGTTAACTTAGCTGCTCTATGCTAACTTCCAGTCTTTTTAGCTCATTTTTACTGCAGGGAGTTACTCTGAGATGAGCTGAAGTTCCAAAGCACGTTGGCTTTTATTTTCTTAAGTTAAGGTGAAGTTAAGGGGAATCAGTGCGGTAAAGCATTACAGTGCACAGCAGAGAGAAATAATACAGGCAGTTTATAAGCATAAACCTCTCTTAGAAACTGCACACTTCTTAGAGATAAACAACAGTTTCTCATCATGTTTTTAAGCTGTTTAAATGTAAATTAGACCTCTCTATTTTTCTCTTTTACCAAAACAACAATTACTGCCTTTTGGGTTACTTGTCCGTCATCAACGTTATCTGATTACGTCGCCCTATTGCCCAGGCCTGGTGCACATATCAAGCATTTTACAATGGCGTCAAACACGACTCAGCTGATCAGATTTCGGAACCAAACTCTGTTTTCTAACTGACATTTTGATGAATCGTGCACTTGATTTTACGCCTGTTGGTTATCGATTCGTCAACGACTAATGACAGTCTGTTATCTGTCAAAAGAAACCCTAGACTATGATATGTAAATATGACCTTGAAATATATGATGTGGCAAATCAAATCTTTTGTGCTTCACTACCACATTAGTTCTATACAAACAGCTTGAGCTTTGGGTTCTGTTTCAAGTGCTGAAAACTCTTTTTAAAGAGGAACTGATTATAAATCAACTTTGATTGCTTGTCTGGAAAATCTGAAAAACCTTGATCAAAAGTCACATAATACATCGGCCACATGACAGATTTTCATTCTGAACGTGTCTTGATGGCCGTTTTGCGCAGAGTCCAAGGCTGCACCCATGTGCTGGGCTCCTCTATTTAAAGCCAAGGACTCCTGATGCTTTCTACAGAACAGAAGACCCATTCGGCACCAGGCTGTGCAGAAGGAAACCTTGAGAAGGCCACTTCTCACATGGCATTTCTAAAGAGCCTGTCCCCTGTATAACTCATTTTCCTCCTTTAGGCTTTAAGGGCCGTGCTTTTTAGTGCGACATTGAACCATCATTCCATCGTTCCATCATTTACGTTTTATTTGGAAGCAGAGATGTAAAAAGAGAAATTACCGAGTTAAACTACATGAGACTGAATAAACGAAACGTAATAGACTGAGCAGTGAATTAAGTATGTGGGTGAGAAAGGACAGGGAGCTAAACCAAGAAGTCCTTGAATATTTTGGACTGGACTTGCTTTTTAAGGCTTTTACGTCTGCTATGTTTATTAAAACCATATACTGTAGAGAAACTTCCATCCAATTAGTCTCTAAATATTCTACAACTTTGACATTTTTGGGACTTCATGTACTTTAAAAAGGCTGTTTTCATGATTTTGAAGCCATATTTTCATCTAACTACTTTATAAAACTTTATAGGGGAAAAGCTGTTAATTTTAATGTACTTCCATGTAGTGAGATTTCATTCCAAGTCATTATGGACCATTTCTGTTCGTCCATTTGTCAAATTTATTGGTAAAACAGCCACAACATGCTGATCTCAGTACCAAAGGCATTATAGGCATAGACATACCAGCAAAGATCAAGAAAAGCAAATCTTAGAAACTTGTGAAATGGTCTGAAGGACAAAGGAAAATGCAGACATGCAATAACCAAGCTGGAAAAAAAAAACATGATTTGGGCTTTGGGGCTCTTACCAAATGGAGAGGGAGAGCAGTCAACCTGGAAGGGGCAAAAATCAAGACCTACAGGGACCCAAACCAAACACAATGAGTGATCAGACCCAGAAATAAATCAAGAAATGAGACCGAGAGAGAAAGAGAGGAGAGAACATAACCTTCTACGCTGAGTAACTTAAATATGAACCAATGCAGCTCTGGAAATACAATGAACGCTGAATGCTGAATGTAATAAACAAATGCATGGCAGTAAAGAACCCAAAAACAGATGCATCTGAGACTGAGTGAAAGTGAGTGAAAGGCTGAAAATGAGTTCAGCAGGTGAGCTCATTTTAACAGAGCAAGGCTGTGGTGGATAGTTAAGACGATGTGTTCTGTTAATGACTGCCTACCCGACTCCTCCGTCTGTTTGCTCATATCATCAGAAAGCATCCCCAGCAGCTCAGTGTCTGATTTCAGCACCTCGGACAGATCCACCAGAGGCTCCTCTGAACTCCCTGTGAACACAGGCAGGGGAACTGAGCTTGGGTTATGGCTTCTGAGCCAAGTGGACTCTTTACAAGATTGCATAATACTGCTCCTACTCCTCTTAACCATGTTAATCAACATTCTCTGTTACAGCTTCACAAAACTGGAATTTCTTGCACTTCAAATTACAGAATCTAGCAGTTCTTTTACTTATGGCTCGTTGATTGGCAGATTTGTCCACATCAGAATCGTTTTTCTCTTCTCTTTTTCTTTCTCCCTGCCTGTTTTGTCTTTGTTAGTTCTTGCTTTGCTAATTACCCTAATTAACTGTTTGCTTATATGCTATCGATTAACTCCTGTAATGGTTATAAGTGACAAATCGATTTACCAATAGCCTGCTTGTATGTGACATCATGTCACTGCCTTGTCATTGTGCAAACAGAAGATGGGCAGGAAGCGACTTTCTACATCAGAAGCACTGTAACAAGGTAACAAGCTCTCAAAATGCCTGAGGTTTGCGTCATTCATCTCAAATTTATCTAACCGAGAAATCATGAGGAGCTTTTATCGAGTACCAAAAAATGCAAGAAATTGACCAAAGAATGGAGCGGAGTGTTGCATTCTGCACAGTTTATCTGTGGATGTGCACCGCTAATAGATTTAAATCAAAACTACAAGCAGCAGCACCAACATTTAAATCAGTGTTAGTACTTGCGCAAAAGACGGGCGAACGTAAATAATCCTGCCATTCTAAGTTCTCGTTCGAATTTTCCCGTTCCACCTTAAATCATGCAGTAGGTACAGTGTGGCGTCAGCTGTTATAATAACTGCTGCATCATTTAAGGTGGAATGGGAAAATTCACACAGGAAGGCAATTTCAGCCTTGAAAAGTTGCTCCTCTACAATTTTGCAAGCCTTCATCAAGGATGTCTGGAGGACAACGTAGCTGCTTATATCTGCTGCCTCAATAACAGGCAAGTCTTTCAGTTCAGTTAAAAAAAAGGCTCTTCTTCATAACACAAGGAACACATGCTGTGATTTTCTGTTTAGGCAATATTATAAGAGAAGAGCAGAAACAGGAAATCGCATTCAACATATGTTGTGATTTTCAGTTTGTCTTCTAATTTCAAATCAACTAGCTCAGTACGGTCCCGCCTCCAACTCGTCCATTCTGCTTTTCACTTCCTGCTCTCCAGCTGGATTTCACGCATCACTGAATTCACGTGACTGCAAACAACCTACGATGGTCACCTGTGTGCCCTGCTATGTGTGCATTACTCTGGTTGCTGTTTGCATGCACTGTTTATTTTATGTAGGTTTGTTGATGTATTTTTGCTAGATGTGCATTTTGCTTATTTTTCATGTTTACAACAGCAGTTAATACTGTATTTTTTAATATTAAAATATTATCTAAAAGCAATGCTTCTGGCCTTTCACCTCCGTCTCACCCTGATCAAGAGCAACTGACAAGCTAGTCAGAGCAAATAGTGTAATAGATTTGAAAATCTGACATGTTAAGCTTTAACGGTTTGAATATTTCAATCCAGTAAACTCGAAGCGTTCAGACAACTTTTTGCCATAGTATCGTTTTGGTGATCAGCACTGTGATACGACATCTGAAATCAATACTGTAGTCGGAACTCTGCTATCCAGGCAATCCCAGTCTCAACAAAATCTTAAAATTTACGTATGTGTCTGTCTTTTATTTCTCTTTCTCTTACGGGGTCCTGCAGCTTTGCTGGGCAGTGGTGTTGACGCTGTACTGTGTGGAGGGTTAGAGGTCAGTTTCAACAGGCCAGCACCAGCCTGTCTTCTCTCTCTCTCCTCCTCTAACAGCCCAGTGGTCTCCCGTCTGCTCTGCTTGCTCTTGTCCAGAAGGTCCTTTCCAAAGAAAGCCTCCTGTAGAGAAAGGTAACAGTGAACATAATTACAAAATTTTCTAAAGTATAGTATGTCTTCATACACAAAACAAGGAACTGCATTAGGAATCTGCATTTAAAACAGCAATTTAAGCAGGTGATGCTCACCAAGGACTTCTTTTTTCTTAATTTATCTTCCAAATGTAGTCATAGCTAATGCCCACCCACTAGCTTGCTCTCCCTCTACCACATCCACAAGGTGGAGGGATCAGGACTAGCTCATGCTTCCTCTGAGACACATGAAGCTCCACCGCATCTTTTCAAACCGCTCTGTCATTGGAGCTCAACACGCTTGAAGGAGAACACCAACTGCCAATGGAATTAACTGATGCCCTTGTTAGTAAGCATCGTGATGGATGAGAGGGAGGACCATCCTGCCCACCCAGAGGATCGCTGGGGATCAATCTTTCGAAAGGGCCAATGCTTAGACAGCCGACAGGAGCGTAGGCATGTTATCTCCAGAAGAACTAATTCTATCTTAAGGTTATACTTCAACCGTTTCAGAAAGCATAGTTAGGACCTCTTAAAGGAGGAACAGGTAAGATGACACAACCTGTCAAATTTATACTACTATAACACAGTCCCTCCTCATCCCTGTTACTTACTAGTCTAGAAGAAATGTTGCGAGCTCAGCATCAAACTTCACTGCTTCACTCGGCAAGAGCTCAAGTCTCCAGTGGTGGAAAGCAGCGCCAATGCTAACTCTAGCTTTGTTTCTGTTTATTTCACTTCTGTTCTTTGTGGTTTCTTACCAGGAGTAAGTGTGTTACTTCCTTCTCCTCTCATGTGGGACTGATGGCAGAATCGACGCTACCGTGACTCACTATCGCCTCTTGAGGTACAAAATGGTATTTTGAGACCAGGTGGGCTGGAGTTTGCTCGTTAGCATGTAACTTTAGTAGATATCTCTGCAGCACGATGCATAGATGTTTTTGACATAACATCAAAACTGTTATTTCTTCTTACTCTGTTGATAATTTTAGTAATTTTGGAAAGTTTTCAACTAAAAATCTCACAGATTGCTCCTTTGAGTGTTTAGGGATTAAAGAGATGGTTGATATAGATCCTTAACAGCCTTGCTCTATAATAATACTTAATAACTATGTGTTCAGCTATGTGAATAAGGCTCCCCCCCATACAGCACTCAGATCTCATTTATTTGTATATCACTGCAAAAACCTTTTAACTCCATTATTTTCAGTTTTTATTATTTGAAAACATTAAATAATGTAAACATTTCAAGATAAATGGACCAACAGACATTTTTAAAGTATTTCTTTTAAAGAAATAAAAATATAAAGTTACTGTTTTGTACATGCAAGATTTTCTTATGACAGTTATGATATCTATATGAATATCAGACTCCATACATACATACATCTTTTATTCTCATTAAGTTCTCCCAGGTTGGCTGCGCATTCAGTAAAATGCATACTGAATTAAGTACCCAGAGTGTGTGACGTAATGGTCTTGCAACCCACATGAAGCTTCCGGTCAGAAAGCTGAAGCTTCTCAATGAAGTTCATGAGTCATCCAGTCTCAAACACTTCAGTCCCGTCCCACAGGACACACCGGTCATCAAAACAAGCGGCTGGCCACAGATGTGGTTTACCAGAGGCGGTGAGAGGAAAAAGCAGGGAAACACTCTCCTGCTGCTGTATCTCTGCTCTCCTGCTCCGCCATCTTGCCTCTGCTCGGTTTGCAGCCCAGGGAGGAGGTTTCAGCCGTGCGTGCTGAAGGCAGACGTTAAAAGCCTTGGTTTTCAATAATTGATAAAAAGGGGCCCCCGCTGAGTGGCAGCAGCCGTTAGGTACGACTCCCTGCTTCGGCGACTTAGCACTGACAGCTAGTGTTAGCTTAATGCACCTCACATTTTTTGCTGCTTGCTTAGCGGCTATGTTCCCACTTTCCTCAGACTTCCCACAAGCCTGGCTTTCAAAGGGCGCATATTCCACATTTCTGTCATTTTATTTCACGGTATGATTATTATTATTATTATTTACTTGTCTTAAGTAAGTAATAATTACTTAAGTCCACTTACATAATTGTGATTTTTTTTGGTCATAAAACATTAAACAGTCATCATTCATTTTTACATGATAATTTCCAACGTCTCCTTATACCTAAGAATTAAGCCGGCTGGTTTCGGTATGTGCCTTTACAACATATGTAATATATCGCAGTTTTCGGAAGAAAACCTCGTATCTACATTTTTGTCATTTTTCAGCTTTTGACAATTTGAAAATGCCTGTTTTCCTTTACTTTGTGTGTAAATTTCATGATGAATAGACCAAAAGACGCGGTCCAAAATGACTTGGAAAAAATTCTGGTTCCATTGACTCACATTAAAAACAAAGTAGGTTTTTTCCTTCTCCTGTAAAGTTACCATTTTGGAGATACGAGGTTTTCTTCCAAAAACAGCAATATGTAAATATGTCTATGTAGATATATGTAAATACTCATTCTGATTGGCTGCCCTGAACTGTACAGTTTAATCTTCCACTTAAATAACTCGCTATAGACTGGCCGCAGTAACAACACTCCATAACACTTCAACAAAAAAGGGGTGGGGCTAAACTGCTCTAGACTCAATGGGCCACCATTGATTATTGGGGTAGCAGCTGTGACATCACAACCATTATGAATTCAAAACATGGGTTTAGCTTTCATACATGGCCTATTCAGAAATTTTCAGTGTTTAAACAGTCCATTAAACTAAAATAAAATTATTTAAAAAATAAAAAGCGTTTTTTCCCCATAATGCGGGGTCTTTACTTCATTCTTATGACATTCTTATGAGAACGCCGAGGACTCATCAGGTACGAGTCAGGCTCGGCTTAAGTTTTCAGCCGACCATTTACAAAGCAAACAGCACCAACGTAGAGGAGGGCTATGGAGGAATAACGTCATCCCCCGTTTCCCTGTGGAGCCCACGTGTCAGGCTCTATTAGACGAGTGAGCGCCCGAGCCGTGCTTTGTCTCAGGTTATCTTTAGCGGTTGCCTAGCAATACCCTCGGCCTTCGGAACCCTTGCATGAGGTTAGAGGAGCGAGTGTGAAGGTTGTGTGTGTGTTTTAAGGCTGATACAATTCCACAATGCTGAAGGAGGAGTTTCATTCTCATTCATCTGACTAAAATACAAGGTCACTAATAAACAAATCAAAGAATGTGGGGAAACTGGGGCTGATAACCGTTCATAATCAATGAATCTATCGACTATTACTTATTTAACTCACTTGTCTAAAATTAAACCTCTTTTTCATACTAGGGCAGCAACTATCAAAATTTTTTATTTTTGAATATTCTGTCGAATACGGTTTCAAATATTTGAATATTCTATATCAATAAGAAAAGCTGAAGACATTTTTCACTTTAACGACTGAATGGAAAACATGGTTGTTATTAGTTGCATTGATTATTATTATTATTATTATGCTTAAAATTAGATTTATTTATTTTGCTTTTTAATAAATGTTCCTATTTAAATCAATTTTTCTGTCTGCCCTGCGATGAACTGGCGACCTGTCCAGGGTGTATCCTGCCTTCCGCCCAATGACAGCTGGGATAGGCTCCAGCACCCCACCGCGACCCAGAAGGATAAGCGGTTTAGATGATGTATGTATACATTTTCCTAGTATTAAATTAGCATTAAAATGCTAAACTGGGGATCCTGCCCAATCTGAGAGCCCCGTAAGGGTGGCTGGCTCAACAGTGAGTGGAGAGGAAAAGCAGAGGAAACAGCATCTTTCCAACCATCGTCTTAAAAATGCAAACTTTCTGGTCCCGTTAGCGAACTGGGGAGCGAACACGATTTTTAAACTGCTCAAAGCCGCTTTATACTGGATATGCGTAAAACTAAGTTACGTCGGCTTTCAGTTTGAGTCATTTTACTTAGGCTTTCCTACCAAGCATTGGGTGAAGTGGTGTAAAACACACTGTGAATGGAAACACACTATCTGGAGTGATGAATCTGACAGTATGATGGATGAACCTAGGTGTGGCAGACGCAGAAGAATAGGGCCTGTCTGAATGCAGAGTGTCAACTGTAAAGTTTGGCTGAGGAGGAATAATTGTCTATTTTTTATGTTTTGGCCTCTCAGATCCAGTGAAAGGAAATCCTTACGCTACAGTATATAATGACGTTCTTTATAGTTGCACGCATCCAACTTTGTGGAGATACTTTTAAGGAAGCCCCTCTCCTGTTTCAGCATGACAATGCCCCCCCCCCCCATATCCAAAACAAGCTCCATAAACATTTTGGAGTGGAAGAGCTTGGCTGGCCTGCACAGAGCCCTGTTCTCAGTCTCATCCAACACTTTGGGAATGAACCGAAAAGACAACAGAGGTGAATCCCTGCAGCCATGTTCCAAAATCTAGTGAAAAGCTTATCTTATAAAGTTGACGCTGTTAAAGCAGCAAAGGGGGACCAACTCATTTTAATACCAACAGATTTGGAATGAGATGTTGGGTGTCCACATACTGTTGGCCATTTAGTGTGAGCTTGCTGCAATTAGACAAGAGTTTCATAAGCCCTGCCAAATAGTGTCCATACCTGTAGATATGTGGGAAATGCCTCCTCCAGTTTGGTCTTCTTCTTCCTGTAGCGTTTGCGAACTTTCACCTCAGGGTTTTCAGGGAATTCGGACACAGGAGGTTTCTCATCCACCGGAGTGTCAGGCATCGGATCACCCCAGCCTATCAAGACAATAAAACAAATATTCACCACGATGATCTTAACAAGAACAGATGCAGGCCATGCTGCAAATTTCTCATGTGATAGGCCTTAATATTTTTCATATAAATGAAATAAGTTCAAATGAAGAGAAGCTGGGAAGAAGTACATCAGTAAGAGCATCAATACAGACCCTAGAGGGCCAACTTCAATCTCAAAAACACACACAAAAACAAAATAAACAGTGAGGACTGAATTTAACCTTAAATCAAATATCAGGAGCATATTAAATTTTCTTGTACGGGCCGTTCTCATCACAGCCTGCTTTGGCCTTGAGCTACGCATAGTGTCAGGGAAAGGTCAGCCACAAACCTGCGTAGTCTGGATTTTTTCACTAGTGTTTCTCACCCCAGGCTGTACTGTAGCCCTATATCACGCATTCACACTCGTGCCTCAAAGCATCGGGTGGGGTAACATTCATATCTGACAACCCTGTCAGGACAGTTAGAATTTTACTGTCTCTACCTCTCCTGGGGTCAAACTTCTCCTGTGCTTTAGGCAGGCCTGTCACAACTATTACATAATAGCCTGATAGCAGCTACGAGTTGACCACAATTATTTTCCACAGTTGTTGGTTTTCACAGCCAACAACTGTGACATCAGAGGGCGGCAGCAAGTAATGCTTGTTTATTTGATATCTGTTACTAACTTCAGAGGGAGGCAGATAAAGTTTGTTTATTTGATGTCTGTTAATAACGCCTTTAGAGGGCAGTGTTGAGTAATACTTGTTTATTGGATGTCTAATAATAGTGCCTTTAGAGGGCAGTGTTGAGTAATATTTGTTTATTTGATGTCTGTTAATAGTGCCTTTAGAGGGCAGTGTTGAGTAATGTTTGTTTATTTGATGTCTGTTAATAACGCCTTTAGAGGGCAGTGTTGAGTAATACTTGTTTATTTCATGTCTGTTAATAACGCCTTTAGAGGGCAGTGTTGAGTAATGTTTGTTTATTTGATTTTTAATAACGTCAGAGGGAGGCAGTGAGTAATATGTTTATTTGATGTCTGTTAATAACACCTTTAGAGGGCAGCGTTGAGTAATGTTTGTTTATTTGATATTTGTTTACACCTTTATAGGGCGGCAGTTTGTTTATGAGATGTTTGTTTTATCTATAAATATAAGGACTGATTTGTAATGTCATTTGAGAGCATTTGCTGTAAAAAGCTGCTGGATGCAGGCAGGAATGAGAACGATAATTATACAATGATTTGATGGTAAATTCTTATTCTCCTTTTAAAATTGTAAACCTGATCTGAAACCTACCTACCTTCATTATTAGGATATTGTTTTGTGTTTTTTTCTCTAACAGAATGGTTGAGATTTTGTTGATGACTACTTTTTCATAAATGCATTTGGTGCAGGCTTGTAATTTTGTGATTTTCAAACCACTACAGCAGCATGGCAAAGTCTCTGAAACTCCACAATTTGGAAATTTCAACATCTCATGGCTCATGGCAAGGCCTACATTTCATGAAGAAAGTCAGAGTCTGCAGGCAGTGAAAGGTATGCAGTGACTTGCTTTAGCTGAAGCCAATATCTGGCCTCTTTTCACAGGAGAAATGATGAAGGGCCCAATCTGCCAGAGGCTACAGTCACTGCTAGCTCGCTGTAGAGAGTCTCATCTTGAGCACTTTTATTTTTTCTTTCAGCCAGAGGCTGAAGGACTCTTCACATCTCTGTCAGCCAAGAATTTTTAGGCATTGCTAAAATTTACTGAGCCACACTCACCTTCGTCTTTGCCCTGTTGAGTCTCGGAGACAGAGCCGGTAGAGTCTTTTCTGCCCAGGGCAGGTTTGGCTTTGCCTGGACCCGTCCGGTTCCTCTGCCTGACCATGAAGCCTCCGATACCTGTGGACAGGTGGGATCCATTTTAGCACACCAGCAAAGCCTTGACTCATATGGTAAGGACAGGACATAAAACAAGCACTGTTGAATTTGTTCAGTTATACAGAAGACGACAGTGATAGACATCCATATTTTGGACAGATTGTCCAAAAAAAAAAATCCAATATGTGCTGCTAGCTACATCCAAGCTGATCTCCTTAACAGCACACAGCCTGTCTGGCTCAGACTGTGTGTTAAGCAGGAATACAGCAGTAGTACTGCTGTGCTGTTTCACACTTCACTGCAGCTGTCTCCTCCAATCAGATGCTTCCTCTCACCGGGCCGGTAGGGCTTCCTTTTCCTCTTCTTGCAGGTCTCGGCTCCTTTGGACTCATCTTCTGCCACCGTCTCTCTCTCTGGGCTGGAGTCGGACTTCCCCTCTCCGTCTACCAGCTCCCCTTCTGCTGGAAAACGCACATATGAAGAAGTTAGACAAACATACAGAGCCTTGTGGGAGAGCAGAGAGAAGCTTTTGTCTATTTTTAAATGCACATAAATTTCATAGAAATAAAAAAAAGCCTAAATATCGCAAAAACGTTTAACCCTCAAAGACCCAAGCACTGATGACATAAAAACCATATCGCTTTTCATTTTTTCTTTTGAGGTGGATTTAAGGAAAATTCCAAGCATGAGTTTTAAAGGTTATACTTTTTTGTCCTTATGATTCTCTTTATGAAGTTAAAACTCATCCATCCAATCTATCTGGTAAAATTGTTGGGCCCATTGATTATAATGGAGTAAATGGGGCCACTGTATCAATAATGCTGATCGCCCACAGTTGCATTTTTTCAACATTCACAAAAATTGCCTCAAATTTGCATATGTACAGCTTTTATCTGTTGTTGTAGTTTTTTAATCACTAAACATGTTAGAAATGAAGAAAAAAATAAGAAAAAAGATCACAGCTCAAATACTTGCTTTGGTTTTGGCATAATATTAAATTAGAATATAACTTCTTTTTCCCACCACAATGCTATGATACAGTTTAGAGTGTGAAGTGTTGGGAAATGTAGTTTTAGTGATGTTTTAGGGACACAGACATAGAGTGCTTTAAAAGTTTGCTGCAATTTTGCAGCAGCTGGTTTTTCAATGAAAAAAGAAACATGAAAAACGGTGATGGAAAACTGATTTTTCAAATAAGCGTTGACACAGTGGGAAATAAAGTGTTTCTACATCGGCTGCTGAGTATCAGCTAAGTATGTCAAATTAGTGCACAGCCAATGGTGCCGTTACTACTTGAAAATACTATTTAATACAGTTTTATGTAAACTGAGATGCAGCCACTAACACTCCGTCTGGACTGACGTTTCCAGTTCTTTGGTGGGAAATGGCAAAGTGGGACAGCAACGTCAGCCTTCATTAAATGGGCCACTACCCGCTCTGCGTCTCTGAACTGTTTGGGCTGAAGCCATGTGCAGCTGAGAAGAGGGCAAAACTGCTATACGGAGAGGTAATAAAGTTTCAAGAGCAAGACTCTCGTCTAGCGCTGTATGGTGTAGTTAATGGAAACTAATTAATTCACAATTTTTTGCCACATTTTTGGAAATTTGCACAAATTTGCGAAACCCTGCTATCGGGACAATGTCACAATGCATCCTTATTTAATATATTTAATATTATATAATACATAAATCCCACGATCACACCTCACAATGCACAGCAAGGAAAGGCCGGCCAAAAGTTTGGAAGTAACATCAACTTTGCAAAATTTATTTTTCAAGGAAAAGTGTTTATTAATCCAGACCAGACAGGTTTGTTTCTAAATATGAAGCACCAGTGTGTGCAGTAAGTGATTATTAATGAATTTAGTGCCTACAGTTTCAGATCCACCTGATTCCCCCATTTTGATGATCTAACATATTTAAACTTTAAGGAGCAAATAATGTTAACTTGTCACTGGATGAAGATGAATGGGAGAGAATATGTCAAAACTTTAACATAATGTCTAGAGACCTTAGAGTACGTCTTACACAATTTAAGATTCTGCATCGGGTCCACTGGACCCCTACCGGACTGCATAAGCTTGGTTTAAAGGAAACAGTTGAGTGCTGGCATTTTGAGTCTGAGGAGGGGGGCTTTATTCATGCTATGTGGCGCTGCCCTAGAGTTCAGGACTTTTGGATGGCGCTTTATGGTTTTATTTGTTAAGCATTAGGTAGCCCAATTCCTTTTTGCCCAAGACTTTTTGTCTTAGGAGAACACTTGGTGCTAAAAACCAGGGACAAGTATTTAAAGATTTGGATTCAAACCAGTTTAAGGATTGGTAGGCAAATCCTTAGGAAGTGGAGGGAAGCAAAGATGGGCAAAGTAGCTGCACATTAACAACTGTCATTTAAATTGTTTGGGTGTTTAAAAGTGTACAGCTGTAAATGGCGAAAATATTTAAGATTTATAGAGAGTTCTTAAAGATGAGTACTGTAGTGTGACGCACCTTTGTTGCTGTATTTTTTTTAATTAATTAAATTTTTTAAGACCTGTGTATCTATGGTTATCTGTATGCTGTAACATTTACTTGAGATTTTTATTTGTTTATTTTTATGATACAGAGCCTTGTACTGCACTGGATTAGGTCAGGTCATGAATGTAGTACCGACACAGTTGGGTTGAGTAGGGGAAGGGTAAAGGGTGTCATGTTGTAGCAAAAATACAAATACATGTGGTTTTGTATTAACCTAAGACAAAAAAAAAATCAAATGAAACTGTTAATCATTAAAAAAAAGAGCAAATAATGTTAACTCAACTTTTTGTGTTACATCAGAAGTGTGGAAAGAACTCATTTTAAAAATACACCACACTGACATAACTGTAAAATATGAATAAAGTTTGAAAAACAAAAATAAAAAAATAAAGTTAAAAAAAAAATAATAATAAAATAAAATAAAAAAAATATATATAAAAAAGTACCTCTGCTGTCCTCTAAGTCTGCATCCCTAGACAGCTCAGTCTGGGGGTCCGGCGGTGTCTGCAGCACAGCCACGCTGTTCTGGTTGATGATCTTCAGCTTGAGTTTGGGTTTGGGTCTCCTGCGTCTGGAGGCAGTGTTTGCCAGGCTCTGGAGCTGAGAAAGGCCCGACTCTGTGAGACACACACCGTCCTGGGTGTACGTCCGCGTCAGTTCTGTAGAGAAAAACGTGAGCGGACCTTCAGTAGAGCCTTGGGGAACCTCGTCGGGACAATTAAGAGGTTTGTGGTCATTTTATGGTGCAAAAAAGTGGTGCAGTAAAAGGTGCAGTCTTTACCCAGATCTCTCGATTTGGAAGCGATCTGTGGGATGATGGGGAGCTCAGATATCTCTGGATCCGATTTAGTGCTCGAACCTAACGCTGTAGGGAGAGACAGAGGGATTTAAACGATCAGAGCATCAACCTGAATGCGTTAACCACTTGCTGTTAACCAACAGGGCTTGAGATGGATCATATCTCTGGTCCGTCAGCCATCAGCACTCCTGTCCCACACATTTTGGTGTTTTTCCTCCTTTAACAAACCTGATCCTAATCAGATAATTAACAAGCCCTTTCTTAGTTGCAGTGGGTGTTTTAGAGGAGTTTAACACTGTAGTGTGCAGGGCAGGGGAACTCAAACATGATCAGTCTTCATCAAGAATGTAGAAATGGCTACTTCACTGAGAAAAATGACAACACAAGGAAAATATAAATAAAGAGTGAGTAAGAAGAAACAAATGTGTTTTAAAGAGGATTCAAACTGCTTTGTGTGCTGATAAACAGTCAACTTCCCAACATACATAATGAAACAATTTCCAGTGATTAACAAAAATTATATTAACACACTGTTAAAATATTTGTGGGAATGTACGCTGTACTTATTAACTCTATAACCAATATTAGGTTTATCATTGAGGCCGCTAGACAGGTGGTCTTTTCAAAGGGGGGGGGGGCAACTGAAACAGTGCAGGGGGGGAAGCGTCCCAGTTTGTTTTAGGTATGAATTTTTATCACATTACCTATACTCTCTATTAAAGCGCATCTAAGTTCATTACTCTTATCAATGCTTCTATAGTCACACATCTCAACAATTAATACTACAACTAATACGTCACAATTATAATAACTGTGATAATGACGCAATCCTATACTATGAATACAAATGACAGGGGTCTCAAAGTACTGGCCTGTGAGCCACCTTCATACAGTCCATCACACATTTACAATTTATCATCAAATCCAGCCTGGAATGTAATAAATGTAAAGATTTAGCCACAGAAAACTAAATAAATAAAGATTTCCAGGCTGGATTTGATGATAAATTGTAAATTTGTGATGGACTGTGTGAAGCTGGCTCACAGGCCAGTACTTTGAGACCCCTGTCATTTGTATTCATAGTATAGGATTGCGTCATTACCACGTCTCTATGTTGGAAGGTGAGCTGTAACTCTGACTGTGCTCTGATAGAGCTCGACTCATTGCCATGACTGCTGATACAGCCCTGCAGGTGGATAAAAAACAGACCAGAATGACCGCGAAAAAGATTTAAAGATATGCAGACACCTCAGATGCGTCTCCAGAAAACGCTACGAACAGAAGATCAGCTGATTGGTGTATCTGTATAACCTGCACATCGATTTACCTCAATAAATCCACTGATAGTCAACGAATAGCTCCAAACTCTTGCTTGGAGATGTTTACTGAGCAGCTAACGAGCAGCACAGAGTAGCTAATCAGCTACTGGAGCTGCTGAACGCGTCTCACTGGCTGATCTAAGGCCGCGTCCCAAACCACACACTTCTGTACTTCACCTACTAAACAAATGAGTGCACTTCTTATGGTAAATGCGCTAATTTTTAGCATACTATGAAGTGCTAGTACGCTGTCTGGGACGCTAATGCCGGCAAATTTCAGCCCTTTACATTTTATCATTCATAATTTATCTCTACAGCAATAAATCAAAAGAAATCTGGGTATATATCAGTTGTACGCTTTAAAATGTGATTTAAAAAGTGTTTTTATTAAAAAAAAATGACCATAAAGACTTGGGTGAAGGAGTGTCTACCTGGAGAGAGAGACTTGTGTCCCTGACAGAGGCTACAGTCGAAGCTGCTGTCTGCAACCTTCTCAACTTCTTCCTCGGAGTGGAAGCCCTGACAGGAGGCATGCATCCACCTGAGAAGGGCACAAGAGTGCATTTACCATCCATCCCTGAGGGCAAAGTCTTTACTGTTCAAACACGTAGCCCATGGCTTACACACACACACACACACACACACACACACACACACACACACACACACACACAAACACACACAAACACACACACACACACGCGCTGCTGACCTGTCACACTGACGACACTGCAGGATGATCTCTTCTTCGCTGTAGTCCAGCAGGCAGATGGGGCAGCACGCCAGGCTGGCACAGGGGGCACACTGGGTGTAATTATTCTGCCACTCACACCTCATACCTGGAGACGTGGCACCACACTGCGTGCAGGATACACACCTACAGGCAGAAGAGAGTAACACTCAGTAAGGATAACAACACGTTTTAATTTTTTAAATGGAGAAGCACTTTTTTTGTCAGTGGAGAAAATTTTAGGCGTGTCTGACTCAGATTAAGTAACCATGAACCAACGACACACTGACTTGGTCTGGTGGGCCCACCACATTATTGTTTATTTAAATCAATACAGCCAAAACAAATAAACATCAGATGTTTAAAATATCACGTGTCCAGCGTAGGGTTCTCCTTTAGCAGCTGTAGCCAGTCAGCAGCCTGTCCATGTTGTCTACCCTCACACACACACACACACACTAACAGCAGGCCATGTAGGAGGAGAACAGAGTGAAGGACACAGCACCTCCACACTTTTACTCCCCGCAGGTTCCCCCAACACCACGTGTAGTATAAATGTGTGGGGGGTGAACAGAGTGAAGACACTGAAAATGGGTTATTTTATATGTTCTTCACAGAAAATGAGCAAAGGCCAAAAATCTGAGGTTGAAATAATAATAAATCCCATCATTTTTTCTTTTGGTAAACACTGAAAACGAGTCCCACAGACCTGAACACCACACACGGGCTAAAGTGAAAGTTATTTGTCATGTTCTATAATATTCTGTGGATCAGCATTAAAACCCTTAAGACAGTTTGAAAGAATTCACGATTTTGTATCACTTCTACGTTTTCATTCAGTGTTATCTCACTACAAAATCTAGCCTCACAAAGCCAGACATGAACTGTAAAGACTTTAGAGCCCCCCTTTGAAGGCAAATAATGCCCTAAATGTGACTAAAGCCCAGCAGTGAGGAGCTGAACTTTACCCTCCTCTGCTGTCACTGCAGACTGGCAGGGTCGCCTACAGAGCAGCGCTAGTAGCTGTTCATGAAGTAATGTTCTTTTTAGTTTCAAGGGGTTTGGGTGACACTCAAAAACAAGGGGGAGGGGAAGAAATAAGAAATGGGATGGGGCCACAGAACAGTGTCGACTCTCCCTCTGTGTACTCCTGTGCTCTGCAGTAATGCTTTTCTTTAGTGTGTTACCATTTGCACTTCCAGCTGCCGTTGGGTACGTTCTGCAGCGGTGGCTCCAGGCAGTAAGTGTGGTAGCTGATGTCGCAGTCGTCACACAGCAGGAGGCGGCCGGGGTCGCTGGCCTGACCACACGCCTCGCACACCGTACACTCCAGACACCGCCAGCCTTTATTCAGGACCACCTTAGTGATCTACAACACATAATTATGACAAGGAAGCAGGGATGAGCACTTATCAATGACCTTTTAATACTCTTCTACTGTTCATCGTGATGTAATCGTGAGTGGACCAACCACAGAAAGACACAGTCTCAAACACTGTAACATTAGCCAGGCTGGCACTAATGTTAATGCTTTAAAAAAAAGCCTGCAGTGTTGTGTATGATGGGCTGAGGGATTTTACCTTTATATTGACGCAGTAGGGGTGATAACACTGTCCACACTGAGCACAGGCCAGCAGTCTGCCCTCCACACCTTGACCAAAACTACCACAAACCACACACATATCCTACACACACAGAGAGAGAGAAGCTATTAGTTAGCTGTAGCTGAGTATAATAATCTTATGACTGATTTTAATTTCTTTGCAGCCAAATTGGTTGATGTCTACTTGTTTTTATTGGCCTTTTTATTAGCTCACACTGTGGGGGCTAAATGAACACATGCAACATACTAACATACTCAGTACTTTCCATCAGCCACAATATAAGTAGCATTATTTGCTCTGTAATGAGCCAAACTGGCATTTTAAAACTGTTAAACGAAAAATTACGATATGAATCAAATGAAGTGCTACTACAAAAGTAAGAAGCGACCAGCTATTTAGCCCAATGGGTCACGTATAACTATGCTACAACATTTTATTATAAGTGTACCAGCAGCATTCGAATACAGTGCAAGCGCACCTGCGTGTCTCACTTTATTAATATAAAACAATAAAATTACAACACAGATTGACCAAAGAAAAAATGCATGTTTGGAGGAAAAAACAGAACCACACACAAACACACACACACACTAAGCTAAAAGGGTTCTGTATAGTACTGAGGAGGAATACTTTGACTCGAAACAACAGCAGAACCCTTTCTGTGCCGTACAGAAGCATTTTAAAAGGGTTCTATAAAGAACTGGTTTTCTGCCAGATAAGAACCATTTAACCAACCAAACAACCATTTATACATTCACTTGGTGCTTCAAGTGCTCATGGTTGTAAACAGAACCCTTGAACACCCATTTCTGAGAGTGTACGTATCCTCACCTGTTTGAGAGTGAAAGTGTCTGTGCTGGAGAAGATCACCACTGTACTGTGCATGGCGTTCTCTTCTTCCTCTCTGAATGGATACAGCGTCGTTTCCATGGTGTTTATCTGCAAACACGTGTACGACAGCATGAAAACCGAATCTGTGGGCTACAACAAAAGTTCCTATGGCTGCAACCAAATTCAGCTTTATTGGTAAACGTGTATTAACACAGTACAAGTTACTAGTAGAGCTGAATGATTTGGAGAAAATATCTAATATTGCAACTGCAATTTCATTTGTGATTATTATCTATAAGGTATAAGGTTCAGGCCTGTTTTCTGGCCAAGAAGTTCATAATATCCAGTTTTTCCAGCCTGAGGCTTGACCCCCTGAATGTAGTGGGCCAAACTACCAGTAGGTTGTGGTTGTGATGTCACAACACATGGAGGTTTAGTTGCCTCTGACTGGTCTGAACTTACTTATCTACTGGCAGTTCACAAGCTCTGAGCTATTAGGTTAAATTTCCCCATATAAGACTTAAGACAATGTTTTTGATAATAAAAGTTATAATTCAATGTGATTTGAAAATTGCACTCCCTTAAATTGCGATTTCCATATAAAAATGATGAATCTTTCAGTCCTAGTTACTAGTATTTTAAATAAACTGGATATTGTATTATAAATATACAACTCACACAGTTATGGACAAGAACAGTGCATGTGTGCATTATTAATTTACCCCTGGGGTGGGGATGGAACTGACTCCGGTCTTTATCCTGGAGCGGCCACGCCCCCCTCGGCCCGTAAGCCCTGCCCCTCTGGGCCTCCTCCGCCCAGGGAAGCCTGACCCTCGGCCCTGCAGGAGAAAACAGTAAAGAGGATAATGTTAGCTCCTGCACAAGGTCAGCTTTAGCAGCAGAAGATGAGAAGTTCAAATTACTGGCAGTTGTGAGTGTAGAGGTTTTTTCAAAGCTGGAGCCCCGAGGCTAAAGTAGCTAACAAGCAATGGAAGCTCACACCCCACCGATTCTCACTGTGTACCTAAACCATCACAAACTTGCCTCAGACTGTGTGGAGTTGTTCGGTAATCTCATATAGACTTGGTTACGTGGTTTCTGACACTGTACGACACACTTATCTATAAACATAGCCCTGCAGCTCCAGTATAAAACCAAAATCTATTCCTTTAATATGTTTCCTCAGTCTAGGTTTAGGCCCAATCCCATTCCACCCCTCGCCCCTAACACTTGGCCCTTACCCCTCTGTTTTGCACGTTCACGTCTAGGGGTAGGTTGACCTGATTCTTGTTGAGATAGAGGGGGGATGGCGAAGTGTTAGGGCTACATGACCCTCCAAACGGAGGCTTTTCACAGACACACTCCGAACGGAGTTTTATAAGAGAGAAAAAAAAGAAAAACCAGCAAGATGGCTGCGCAAGAGACCAAAGAAACCCACAAATGTGAGAATTTTCTTACATATCTTAGTTTAATGCTGTTTCAGTGTATTATGGTCGTTTTCTGCATAACAAACATTAAAAAATCGCTAGTATTATGCTGATGTCTCCGTAGCTAGCTAGCTAAATTTCCCGTTCCACCTTAAATAATCCAGCAGTATTGATGGCTAAAGCGCCTGAATGTAACTGCTGCTCCATTTAAGGTGGAACGGGAAAATTCGAACGAGAAGCTGGTGAAACGGACTTCAGCTTCATATCACTGAAGAATTAGGGGTGGGTGATAATAAATAATTGCCCCCCCCTTTGAAGGCGTATGACGCCCTAAATGTAACTAAAGCCCAGCAGTGAGGAGCTGAACTTTACCCTCCTCTGCTGTCACTGCAGACTGGCAGGGTCGCCTACAGAGCAGCACTGGTAGCTGTTAATGAAGTGATGCTCTTTTTATTTGAGGGTCCCATTTCAGAGGGAAGATTTCAACCACTAACACTTAAAGCTCAGCTCCAAGGGGTTAGGGTGACCCTCGAAAACAAGGGGTAGGGGTAAAAATAAGGAATGGGATTGGGCCTTAGTCTTTAGTCTGGGCAGACGTCACTGTGTGCTTCTCAAAGAATCCACCCAGAATCGTTCAAGCTCACAAATCAAACAGAGATGGCACAGATCCGATATCAGGTATCAGTATCGGGCCGATTTCAGAAGAAAATGTTAGTTTGGGGGGGGGCGTGTCAGTGCATGCTAGGAACTGTTTTGGGCTAATATTAATAGAAAATTAAAATAATTTTGCGGGCTGAATAGGATTGTGCAGGCCTTGTGTTTGACACATGGGGCTTTAAGTGAAGTTAAGTGAAGTTTAAATTAAAAAGGGCACATTTAAGAAAAAAGGTTTTTAACAAAGATTGTATAGGCCGATATGCAAGGTTTCAGTATCGGTATCGGAAAAGAAAAAGTGGTATCGTGCCGTCTCTAGGATAAAGCTGTGATGCTGTCAAGCAGGAACATCAGTGAAGATAAAAATAAAAAAATAAAAAAAAAGTGTAGCAAAAAATCTGTAAGTTCCTCAACATTAACCCAAATACAGACAATCAGCATAGACGTGTTTGGTGTCTGAAGTTTGTTTCTTCAGTGTTTCATTGGAGCTGTAGGGCTAATGTAGCTAACAAGTAATGGAAGCTTACACCGATCAGGCCTAACATTATGACCACCTCCTTGTTTCTATGCTCATTGTCCATTTTATCAGCTCCACTTACTATATAGGTGCACTTTGTAGTTCTACAGTTACAGACTGTAGTCCATCTGTTTCTCTGATACTTTGTTAGCCCCCTTTTACCCTGTTCTTCAGTGGTCAGGACCCCCATGGACCCTCACAGAGCAGGTACTATTTGTGTGATGGATCATTCTCAGCACTGCAGTAACACTGACGTGGTGGTGGTGTGTTAGTGTGTGTTGCGCTGATGCGAGTGGATCAGACACAGCAGTGCTGCAGGAGTTTTTAAACACTGTGTCCACTCACTGTCCACTCTATTAGACACTCCTTCCTTGTCAGTCCACCTTGTAGATGTAAAGTCAGAGACGATAGCTCATCTGCTGCTGCACAGTTTGTGTTGGTCATCCTCTAGTCCTTCATCAGTGGCCACAGGACGCTGCCCACAGGACGCTGTTGGCTGGATATTTTTGGTTGGTGGACTATTCTCAGTCCAGCAGTGACACTGAGGTGTTCAAAAATTCCAGCAGCACTGCTGTGTCTGATCCACTCAGACCAGCACAACACACACTAACACAGCACCACCACGTCAGTGCTACTGCGGTGCTGAGAATGATCCACCACCCAAATAGTGCCTGCTCTGTGAGGGTCCATGGGGGTCCTGACCACTGAAGTATGTCTGTAACTGTAGAACTACAAAGTGCACCTATATAGTAAGTGGAGCTGATAAAATGGACAATGAGCGTAGAAACAAGGAGGTGGTCATAATGTTATGCCTGTTCGGTGTATTACACAGCATTAAGTAATCTCAAACCAATCGTAAGACCTGCTTATGAGGTTTCTGACAATGCTTAATAAACTATTATCTATAATCATGGAGGTAAGTACTTTGCATAGCAGCAGCCGTCTGAATTTTGTCCATAAATATCAGTATGTCATACAGTGTCTCACCTGACTGACCACATCTGTAGAAACTGGAAAATGATTTAAATCAGATTTTTTGCCTGACAATACTTTAAGGCCGGGAGAAAAGTTTCAGCCAACAAGTCTCCTGAGGCTCTACAACGTTTTAGCCTTTTAGAAAAATCATTTGCATAAATCCAAACCACATGCTGAGCGAGTGGTGAGATGTGTGGTCAAAAAATAAATGAGTAAACAAAACAACATGGCGATGATATGATGGTGCAGAAATCTCTCCCTTTAACTGTTTTCACATAGAACTGAAACCTTGCAAGAACCTGTGGTCACCCACGTTAGCTTCTGTGGTACTGCAGCTACGTCCACATACCACTGCTAAATGACTCAGCGCTTGCGCTAATGCCGCTGTGCTGACGGCAGCATGATTCTGAAAAGGAAATGAGCTACGCTAGCTTCATTTTCTTGAAAGACTTTTTTTTATTTACGTCCAACCGCAGGTCCGCCTGGTCGCATGTGATGCGGCCGTCTTCCCGCAACAGCCCAAACACAGCGCTAACGGCCTTTGAATCAACCTGCCGTGGTCAATAACGGGCAACGTCCGAGAGAAATGGCCCCTCAGACAGCTGCAGCTGCAAACAGGCCTACAGGGCTGATGACAGACGTTTGGCAGAAGCGTTCAGGGGTGATTCGAAAACTATTACGCTGTCAGTGAGTTTCCTTCTGCCCATCACGCTGAAAACTGCTCGCTAGAATCTCTCTCCCTTTCCTTCGTCCTCTCAACACTCCTGCATTACTCTCTCCCTCTCTCTCTCTCTCTCTCTCACCTCCTCAGTGATTTTCAGCGCTTACTCCTTTCCTTTCTGACGCACCTTCTTTCCATCTGCCTCTGTCTTTGCTACCTCTTTTTTGGCTCATCTGCTCTCTTCTCTACACTTTTCCCTGAACTCTCTTGCTCCTGCGGCTGGACGAAATAGCCAAAAATCTTATTACAACACATTTTACCATGTCACTCAATACAAACGATCATCAGTAACTACTATACACTTTTGCCAATGCACTTTAGGGCTTATTCTGAACCATAAAGAAAACAAAAAGTAGATTTTGGTGTTAAATACAAAATTGTCTTCTACATACATTACTGTGCAAAGGTTTTAGCCAGCCAAGAAAACTGGCATTCAAAACTACTTATCTGAGAAGAAAAGATGCTTTTTGCCAATAAAATGCTATGTAAGATCAGAAGAAATACAAATACAGTAAACATTACTGATTTTTTAATATCTAGGTTAGAAGAACATGATTAGAAGAACATGCGTTTTGTTTCTGACTTCTTGCCAGTGTATGAGTCTGTTAAACTGCATCAACAGTGAAGCTGATTTAATTTAACGGAGCACTGATTGGATCAACTATGTACCAGACAGTAACTATTGCACAGCATTGTATACAGAAATTTAAAAGGAACACATGAAAACAGTTTGCAGCTAACTCTGCTGAAGATCCAGCTGTTTGTGCTGTTGTGAGTGACTGGATAGACTTCTCATTCGCTCCCTCTAAGTCAGGGGTGTCAAAATGAACCACTAAAAGGGCCACATTAAACAAATCTCAACAAATCTGTGGGCCAGCTGTGTTTTTATTTTATTTTTACTTATTATTTTGCCAAGACCCCCACTGGCCATTGTTTGTTCAAAATATGCCAAAACTACAACGGCAAAAGTAGCCACTGAATATTTGAACGACTCAAAAATAATCTTAATAAAAAACAGGTTATTTTATATAAAACAATAGACTACGTTAGCTGCAGATCACTGTTAAACCTCTTTAAATGTCCCCAGTGGACAGCAGGTTTTTTAAAACTGCCCATTCGCTTGATCTAGACAGCTGGCATCTTTTTTTTGTTTTGTTTTTGTGGTGCTGTCCCATATATCGTTGTTGGGGAGGGGGTGGGAGCACACATTATGTTGCAGTCCATGGTGGGAACTGTAGTGCAGCTCATGGTGAAATGGGCTAATATTAATAGAAAATTAAAATTATTTCACAGTCTGAGTAGGACGGTGTCATGGGCCCAACTTGGCCGGGTAAAAGGCCCATATTTCCACCTAACATACCAGTTGTCCAAAGCTGCTGCTCAGACGGGACTGAAGAAACAGGATAGCATAACCGTTTTACCAAAAACACCTCGATCGGTATTTTAAAGCGTGATTTCACGTTTGATAAATATCATTTTATCAGCCTGGGCCTCATTAGTTCTCTCTCTCTGTCTCAGTGCCTCGTTTTATTCCTCTCTCTTCTCTCTAGTTCAGAGTGTAATCACACAGAGGGGAGTGGTCTCCCGCATGCTAGGCGAGTCAGAGGTGATAATGCAGTAAGACCTGGTTTGGCCCGGCGCCCGAGCCTGGGTGGCCCGGTAACAGATGGTGCTACGAACACACAGTGAGCCCTAACAGAGCCGACAAGGCTGCTACGCGACCTCTGACCTCTGCAACGCACAACACATCTGCCCAATAGCGCTCTACGTGCAGACATTCAGAGCTCACTCGTTTGTTACCCTACAGAGGCAGAGACCTGAGACACATCATGCACGTTAAAGCTTTGAAGCTGCTGCTTTTCTCACATAAGTCAGAGTTAGTGGCAGTTAGCGTGCTTGTTAGCACTTCATGACAAATCTTCATGCTAAGGCATCATGCTAAGTCTTCCCAACTCAATGGCTAGTGAGGTACAGCACCAGTCACAAGTTTGGGCACACCTACTCATCGTATTCCTGAGCATTTTCACTAATTTCAATATCTTAGAATAATAAAGGCTACAAAACAACACTTATGCAATTAAATATCTTCTGTTTTAGATTCTTCAGTAGCTCCTGCTTGATTTAACACAGCTTTACCTATTCTTGACATTCTCTCAAGCAGCTTCATGAGGAGCCACCTTAGATGCTTTTCCAACAGGACTGAAGATACATATCGCTGCTGTCAGAACAAAACCTTGTATCTCCATTTTTCAGTTTTTGACATAATTTGAAAATGCCTGTTGTCCTTTACATTATGGGTGAAGTTCATGATGACTAAACCAAAAGAAACGGCCCAAAATTACTCTGAAAAAAGTCTGGTTCCATTGACTTACATTAAAAGTAAAATATGTTTTTTCCTTCACCTGTAAAGTTACCATTTTGGAGATACAAGGTTTTGTTTGACAGCTTTCGACAGCAAACGTTTTAAAACCCCTGGTAAAATTACACATTCTGTTGATTTTCTATGTGAAAATAAATGAACACATCCTCTACAGAGAAACAAACTTAAACATGAAAATTTTCTGCAAATTTAAGAGCACAGTTTCTGTTTATTAGCTAAGCTTAACATATCGCCCGAAGAAAACCTTGTATCCCCATTTTAGTTTTTCAGTTTTTGACAGAATTTGAACATACCTGTCGTCCTTAACATTGTGTGTAAATTTCATGATGAATGGACCAAAAGAAACGTCCCAAAATGACTTGGATAAAAGTCTGGTTCAATTGACTTACGTTGAAAGTAAAGTAGGTTTTTTTCCTTTTCCTGTAAAGTTACCGTTTTGGAGACACAAGGTTTTCTTCCGAAAACAGCGATAAAGAAAAAATGACAAATGTGCCATAACTTTCGCACAGGTCACATTTTGTGCCCCCCTCGGCCCCCCAAATATGTTAAATTCAGTAAATAAAGAGTAACTTTGCAATAAAATTTGCCTAAGTGTGTTTTCTATAGAGGATGTGTTAACTTATTTTCACCAAAAAAAAAATGATTTTACAAGGTCGCTCAAAGTTTTGAATACAATCGTATGCTCACAACACGCTGACTGAGATTCAACTTGCCCGTTTATTCAAAAATTTTAGTGTTTTTAATGTTTATTTTGGAAATAAATTCATGCTTGGGCACCAACTCAGCTATTAAATTTTTTCTTTTTTAACAGTTTAAGCCTTTACGTCAAAACACGACTATGAAGACTATGAAAAGTATAAGTTCGACGAGGTGTGTCCAAACTTTTGAGTGGTACTGTAGTTAAGCTGGCCTGTCCTCATCCCTGAGAAACCTCAGGCTAATCTCCGAGGCTAAGAGCTGATCAGGTGGACTCCCATTGAGTCAGAGTGAGGAGTTGTAGTTGTAGTTACCACGCGGATGCTCCACACGGCCGGGTTGGGGAACTGCCTGCTCTTTGGGGCGTCCCACCCCTCAGCCTGGGCTGGAGACCAGGGGGGGGAGCTCAGTCTAGGAGAGGCGCTCCATGCTCCCTGAAGCAGGGGTGGGTTAGAGAGAGAGAGAGAGAGAAAGAGAGAGAGAAAGAGAGAGAGAGAGAGAGAGAGAAAGAGAGAAAGAGAAGGGGGGAGGATGTGGGCGACAACATGCAACAACTTAAAAGAAAAGCAATCAAAGAAAGGCATACAGATACATGCATACACAGAAAATCATGGTCAACTGAGAGCTGAAGTTAATGTAGTCCAGCACACGCACATGGATGACAATGATAGACGTGTCACTGACGTGTCAAGTGCGCACAGTACAATTAAAGGAACAGTCTACACAATAATCCCCAAGACGTGTGGAGTCTGAAGTTTGATTTTTCAGTTTTACCTAACAAGTTATGAAAGTTCACAGCCCATCAATCTGCATGGTGCAGAGTACATGTCTAAATCTTCACACACTCGCCTTTCGTTTCCAGTCAAAACAGCCATTAAGTGCAAGTTATTCATTTTCAGGAGATATTTCTGAGGACATTCGCTATAAGATAATCCACTTGCGTAAGGAAGGAGAAAGTTAGTGTCCAAAAGTTTAGGAACTCTTAACAACCACCTGGAAGACCTGGTCGACCCCAAAACTGCCCCCATCAGATAAACAGCACTTAAAGCTTTCATCTCTGAGAGAGAGGAGAAAATCAAGCTGCTTCAGATCTGAAAACATCCACAGGTGTTTCTGTCCATCCTTCCACTGTGAGAAGACGACTCAGCGCTGTGGGTCTGAAAGGATGTGTAGCTGTCAAGAAGAACCTCACTGAGAAAAGGAGACGGACACATCAAACAAAGAAGCTGAACGATGGACTGACCACCCCAGAGTCCAGACCTCAACACCACTGAATGTGTTTGATTACTTCAGAAAATGATCAACCAGCTTCTAAGACTGAACTTTGGAGGCGTGTCTGCAGATTCTTTGAGAAACTGAAAGTGACTCTCCTGAAAAAAAGCAGTAGTATGGCTACATACTGAAAATATATCATATTATATTTGGGGGTTTGCTTTTTTATATTACATATATAAATGAAAACAATGTAAGCTGTACTAACGGTGAAGAGTGACACACTACATACTGAATAAATGATACTATATGTTGTTGTTGAGGCTTCTGTGTAATTCTCTGTCTGTAAGTTTTCCCTCTGATGCTGAAAGAGGAATAATTTGCGCTTAATGGCCATTCTGACTTTGACTTGTGAACCATAATTCTATTTAAAACACCTCAACAGCTACATCTGAGGTGTTTTAAACTCCTTTAAAAAATAAAAATGAAAAAAAATTCACTGCCCTGTCAGCAGCTGTTTGTTTTCCACTGAAACACTCAGTTTCGCGTCTGAGTGTTACTGAAGAGGAAGGGCTGCCGAAAGTCTTAGAGGCCTCCCGCTTCCCTCGCTGCGGTACACACGCCATTCGCTAAAGGTGCAAACCTCAGCGGCGCTGGATGCCATGGAAACGCAGCCGCCGTCACGTTTGCAAACGAGAGGTGATGATGTCAGCAGCAACAGAGCACGAGGCCTCGGGAAGACGCGGCATGCAGAGAGCTCGACTCCACATTCGCATCAACCGACAGTGACCTTGTTTATCTAATTAATCTACAAACGGCTGTCAAACAGGCTTACAGACTTTCAGTATAGAGCCTTCTGAAATAAAACAGCTTGTTACAAACTGAGACGTTCACCACGGGTCAAGAGTATGGAAGCAAGCACTGTTTTCCAAAATAAATAAATAAATAAAAAAAACGAAGGTAAATTGTTTATTACCATCCACTTTAAAGGCTACACTATGTACGTTTTGGGGATTTGGAGACCTCTCTGGTGGAAATGTGTAACTGCAGTCAACATTTTGCAGTGTAAGCTGTGTTTTGGACTCCTTCCCAAAGTGGATGAATCCGACGACTGTAAGACAACCTGGTGAAGGACACGTCTTCGAAAGATGTGAGTGAATTACCTACTGTCCTCATATCTTCATAAGTATCATGTCGATTTTGCGTTTGAGACCTAAACATCGAGCCAGACCCTCCGTTTGAGTCTGGGTGTGTGACGTCAACACAAAGATGTACGACGTGGCCCCAAAAAATGACTTTTAAATTTTATTTCAGGCTTTGCAGGGCGACTCGCAGCAGCGCACGCTCACCATACTTTAGTTTTTATTCCTCTGACTCAGTAATGATACTTCACTTATCACCAAAAATCACATTTGGTGCTGCTTTAAGGAGAGATGTTTATTCCAGAATATTCCACTGCTGTTCTCCTGCTGTAGTGAATTCTTTGGGAAAAGCCTTCTTCACACTCGTTGTTGATAACAAGACTCTGACACTGAGTTGATGAAGCCTTCAGGAGCTTCTGAATGGGGAATCAAGTGGATCTGATTAGAGCTGCAATAAAGAATCAGCAGGAGCTTATTACTTATTAACTACCAGTTCTACTGCTGCAGAAATTCAATCACATCCTTTTGTTCCATGTTATTAAACAAACCTTTATGTTTACTTTTACAAAGTTGGTGTTGCTTCCAAACATTTGGCCTGTAGCGTAAGCGCCTTACAAATAAGCAGCCATTTCTCACAGATCTGCGAATAAAAGTTTGTTCAACAAAACTTTCAGACGTAGAACTAAGTTTCTCAACCATGTTAGTATATTTACAGAAGTTCACAGTGTCAGACTAAAGCTGTTTAAAGGCCTCATCATACTTCTGTGAAGACGTGTTTGCGGAGAAAACGAAAAAACGCAGACGTCGGGCAGAAACTTTGTTTCATGTCGCCCACATAGCAGTTGGGCGAACTCCTCAGACGAAGACGCTACGCGACAAAGCCTGTGATTGGTTGGTAATAAATGCTGTGTTCTTTTTTTACCGACCATAATTCTCCTGAAATAATTTATACTCCTTAAACAGCTTCAAAGGTGCTGAGGAATAATGTAGTTCAACCAGTTGAACAACATCTTACAAACCTTGGGTTAAGTTATTAAAGAGGCCGTGAAACACGGTTCTGCATCTTCCTGTTCTACTTTATTTGAGGTTATTTTCTTTAATCTTTAATAACTGATGCACCAAGCAATGCCTATTTCACACAGACTCCATTAATGCCAGTGTTTATTTTAATTATGATTTTGTCATGAGCTTCAAATCTGACTCAGTGGTCTGGAATAAAAGAGCACAGCGTTTTAATCACTGTGGATTTTACTACACTGAGGTGTTTACAATCTACATGTCAAACAGAATATAATATATATTCAGTATATAACTAATAAATGTGGTTAAAAAAAAGTGGGTGAAGATGATCAAACTGAAGAGCTGTGCATGAGAAGATGTATGAACTGTAAGAACTGTATTGAACTTCAAATTTGGAAAAGACTAATTTGAACTCTGTGTGGAAATCTGAAAGAGAGGCTCACTCAAGAACCGGGCCGGGAACTGGACCCAGTGGGTGGTCTTACAGCTGATTGGAACGTGTCTGTTTAGCACGTTTGTGTCTTCATGTGCCACATTCTTAACTAGAAACGTCTTGTGGGAAGACCACGTGATGTACTTGGCGCCCAAAAAATCCAGTGAAAGTTCAAACAACCTCTAATTCTACGTTCCATTAGAGAATATCCCAAGGCTAAGGTGTTTCACTGAACCACCTCTGCTTCTTACCTTCACATGCTAACCAAGAGAACCCTTTCAGGCTCAGTCAAGACCAGAGAAGAACCCTCAGCACAAAAAAAGGTGATTCTTCACCAAAAGCTTTGGTCCTACCTGCTTGACTCTTGGCCTCCCAGGTGAGAACTTCCTTTTAGAGATAGCAGGTTTGCCCATGCCGATTTTGGGCGTGAACGGTATGAAGGTTGCTGAAGGCACGTTGCTACTGGTTTCTCCTAGTCCAGAGTGGCTTTGGGGGCTGATTGTAGGCTGGCCAGAGGAGGTCAAACTCTCTGGTTGCCTAATTGGCAATGGCTTTAGTGAGGTCCTCTCTTCTACCAGCGAGCTTAGCTTTGCCAAGCTTCGCTCACCGTCCAAGCTTATGTCCATCTCTTCGGTAAGGCTTTCAAAAGCTCTTCCACGTTCCTCCACCTTGAGGCCTTCAGATGCTCTTTTATGCTGTTCCACTGTGAGGCTCTCAGTGGCTCGTTTATGCTGCTCCACCGTGAGGCTCTCAGTGGTTTGTGTATGCTGCTCCACCGTGAGGCTCTCAGTGGCTCGTTTATGCTGCTCCACCGTGAGGCTCTCAGTGGCTCGTTTATGCTGCTCCACCGTGAGGCTCTCAGTGGCTCGTGTATGCTGCTCCACCGTGAGGCTCTCAGTGGCTCGTGTATGATGCTCCACTGTGAGGCTCTGAGTCGCTCTTGTATGCTGCTCCACCGTGAGGCTCTCAGTGGCTCGTGTATGCTGCTCCACCGTGAGGCTCTCAGTGGCTCGTGTATGCTGCTCCACCGTGAGGCTCTCAGTGGCTTGTTTGTGCTGCTCCGCCATGAGGCCCTCAGCGGCTCCCTCATGCTGCTCCACTATGAATCCCTCAGTGGTTCTTTTATGCTGCCCTGTGGTGAGGTTTTTAGTGGCCTCCTCATGCTGCACCACCGTGAGGCCCTCAGCGGCTCTCTCAGGCTCCTCCTGCGAGAAGCCCTCAGTGGCTTCCTCTTGCAGTTTCACTGTGAGAGTTTCAGTGGTTCTCTCAGCCTGCTCCACCGTGAGGCCTTCAGCGGGTTTCTCTTGTTGTTTCACCGTGAGGCCCTCAGCGGGTTTCTCTTGCTGCTCCACCGTGAGGCCCGCAGTGGCTTTCTCACACTGCTCTAGCACAAGGCCTCCAGTTTCTCTTTCATGTTGCTCCGTCGTGAGGCGCACCCTCTCCTCCTCCACCTTTGGCACAGGTTTAGCAGAACTTGGTTCAGTCTCCATGGAGGGTTCTGGGATTTCAGAGGATGATACTTCCATGGGCTCCTCCTTTGAAGGTTCAGAGACAGACGAGAGCTCTTTGGTGGGTGACGTGATGGATTTCTGCTCCTCTAGACTTAGTCTGAGTTCTTCGACTTGGTGAGAAGCTGTTTCTGGGTTAATCACGGATGGGGTCTCTTGAGGCAGCTCTGCCTTAGTTGCTGGCGCGAAACTCTGGATTAATGGAGACTCAGGCGCTGGATCTGGCTTCTGCTGAGGACTTTCTGGACTACTTTCAGGCTTCACGTCCTTGGGAGGCTCTGTGGCTAGACATAAGAAAAATATGGTCAGTTTTTCGGTCATCTTTTCTCAGACAATTCGATTTCATCCTCATAAATGAATTCTAAATGGCCTTGCTCAGTGGAGGAAGCTACATAGACGTCCACTAACAGCCTGATACACTAACAGTGACTGCAGCACTGCAAGGGGAAAAAGTACCTGGTAATTTTTCGCCTGCGGGTCCTTCCTGTGGAGCTTCACTGGCAACTTCTTTAGCGTTTTTACAGCCCGTGTCAGTGTCCACCTCTAAAAGAGAAGAAATATCCACAGTGAGGGCAAGAACGCAGCCTCTACTTGCAAAATACAAAGCAGGAAGCACAAGTGGAAATGATTACAGCATTGGCAAATTGGCGCAATTAGCTTCTGAAAAAAGAGGCTATGAGGTAAAGTGTATACGTCTGCATTAGTCAAAGATAAAACAGCGAGAAGGGGAAACTAGATTAGGTCTTACAACAAAGTAATCATATTCAGCCCTGCGGGCGCACTACTGATAAAATATATTCTTTTTATCTGTGCATATTTAAAAACGTCTTCGTTCTCGCTGTCGTACATACGCACACTACTTCGCTTCTGTGACTCCAATTACGCCAGCGCTTCGCTGTAAAATGCTCCAGCTGCTTATAATACCTCCTCTTGCTCAACACCAGCCGCAAGCAACAATTTCCTAGACAAATACCCCATAAATGTCCTGATCCATTACTGGGTCCGTTATTGGCACGTTTCAATCAAGTTTCAAATCAAGTTTCCTTCAGGTACAGATAATCAGACGCCCCTCACAGGATTTCCCAACTAAATATTAGCACAGTGCAGCTGATATTAGCTTAGCACTATATAAAGTAATTAGACTGCTGGTTTCTTTCTCTGCCTCGTAGAGGGGTTGTGTAAGCAAAGCAAACAGAGACGGAGAGAAAGTCTGATTCAGCTGTGGCTCTGTTTAAACAGGGGCAGTACAGAGGCCTGTGAAAATTATTGTCTCGGCTGGTTGTGTAATACATTCTTTATTGAAGAACAATAACAGTGAGGTCGATCGTTGGGAGTCGGTCTGTTCGACAAACCCTGCATCTTATTTTGTCTGCATTCTTGTCCATTATTATGGATGAGTGTCAGAAACAAGGTAAGCAGGTCTATGTAAGATTACTTAACGACTCAACATGGTTTGAAGCGAGAGTGATTATTAGGCTGGTCACTAGGGGCAGACAATTTTGAAAAAATATTATATTATGATGCTTTAAGACATTTTCAAGATACATAATATGCATCACGATATTTAGGCTACGTTCACACAGCAGACAAAAGTGGTCCGAATCTAATTTTTTTGTTTGTCTGTTCAGATTATCTTTTAAATGTGATCTGTATGCGACATCAGTCTGAACAGATCAGCTCCTAAACTGACCCACATGCACAAAAGATCAGAGCGTCACGCTGCTTCACGGCTCATCCAGAGGTAAACAATCACGACCGCCAACGAACGCCAGTCGCTCCCAGAGGATCAGCTTCATCTTCACCAGCATCACAGGAGCCTTCATGAAGCTTCACTGACTGACAGCTGGGCTCATCACCCAGAACGTGTTCGAGCCGTAAAAAGGGCGCGGTCACTTCTTTGGTTCGCGTCCTCGGATTCTTTAAACTCTGCTTTCAGACTTTTAACTGTTCTTTGACGCTGCAGCCTCGTTCTCCTGCGGCCGCGTTCGGACATTTCTTTAGAAACCTCTTCGAAAACGGAGGAGTTTGGATGAGTCCAGATGTTTGAGTCTCAGCAGTGCGAAATTATGATGAATGTGGAGCTGAATTGATGTAAACGTCGCATGAAGTCTGATCTGGCTGTTCAGACTGAGTCTCATGGCCGCAGATCGGATACGTTTCGGATTTCAGTACCACATATGAAATCTTGTCAAATCGGAATTGAAAATGTCAGATTCAGTGTGTTTATCTGTTCACACTGACACACAGACACACATCTGTGTCACATTTGAGGAAAAAGATCAGATTTGGGCCACTTTCACCTGCTGTGTGAACAAAGCCTTAGTGGTAACAGACAGAATAAAGCCTGTAGAGCCAGACAGAAAAATTTCCAATAATTATAATAACAACACACCTACAACTACAATGACTTTCATGTTATGGTTTACAAACTGCACTGCATTATACTACACTATACTATAATGATAAACTATGCTCACTTTGAAATGAAACATACTTAGTGTTCTTTAAGTACTGATGTCCACGATATGCTCAGAAAAGCGTAGTGACATACTTTGTCATGATAACGATAAAATATAGTAATTTTGCCACTATTAATCATCATATAAGTCATTGTAATTAATTTTTAGTCATTGTAATTTCTTGTTCATTCTAAGCACCTATAAGCTGAAAGTGGACAAATTGGTTTATCAGTGATCTTGCTGCCTGTAGCCAACACTGCTAGCACTGTCGAACTGGTACACCATGCTCACTTACACCGAATCATATGTATTTAGGCAAAGCTTATATTTTTTCGCTTAAGAGTGAAAATAGAAGTAAAAAACTCTCATTCTGGTAAAAATGCATTCTAAAAACATTTAAATTAGCTAATAAATAAACAAACATACTTCTAATGCCCTCTAAAAATCCCATAATGTGTCTCAAACACATTTAAGCCTTTCTTTTATTTACATTAATTTGTCTCAATACAACGGGGGTGCACAACTCTGGTCCTGGAGGTCCGGTGTCCAGCAGTCTGGGGATTTACCTGCTCTGACACACCTGATTACGCTAATCTGTTAATTGCCAAGTTAAGTGGATGAGCAGGGAAACGTCCAAACTGTGCTGGACTCCGGCCGTCCAGCACTGGAGCTGCGCACCCGCTGCAACAAGCACAGTTGCAAAAAAGAAAAAAAACTCAATATAAATGATTTTTGTTCAACGTTTACTACTGCACTGCACTTAATTCAACCAAACAGCACTGATTACACTTCTTTGTAATGAAACATGCAGTTGGACAGTGTTCGTTAGTTACTGACCGCATCCTCAATATGTTTGGAAAAGCTTATGTGACATAAGTCCAGAGGGCAGTTGTGGGCTGGAGGTTAGGGAACGAGCCCTGTGACCGGAAGGTCGCCGGTTCGATGCCCTCAGCTGACAGTACGCGACCGAAGTGCCCTTGAGCAAGGCACCTGACCCCCAGCTGCTCCCCGGGTGCTGTGGATAGGGCTGCCCACCGCTCCGGGCAAGTGTGCTCACTGCCCCCGGTGTGTGTGTTCACTAGTGTGTATGTGGTGTTTCACTGCACGGATGGGTCAGATGCGGAGGTGAAATTTCCCCGTTGTGGGATTAATAATATTAAAGAATAACTTAATCTATCACGAAAATTACAGGTATCGTCAGATTGCCCATCCCAGCCGATCAGCTACATTTGAGGTGAGGGGGAAACTGTATCATATCAAACTATTCTGGCTTTTACAGCCACATGTTTCAATTCAATTCCGCCTATATTCAATATCACCCTTCTACAGTTCCATCTGTACGGTAGCCTCGTTAAGGAGGCCAAGCCGCCTTTGCCTCAAGCTTAAGTGGACAGCGCAGCCATGCACAGCCGTCTGCAGCAATACGGATCTATCTGCATTGGCTGCTCTTGTGGCGTCTCTTTAACCAGGCAGCAGAACTTTTTAAGCCTCCACACAGTCTATAAAAGAGGGCATGCTGCAAGGCCGAATGCTGTTTCCTAGCAAGCCGGTATTCTCTTGAGAGAAAGAGAGGCTGAAGAAGGGAGAGAGAGAGACAGAGAGAGAGCTGGTGGTGCAGTGGGCAGCAGTCTTTCGGAGTAAACAAGATGGGCTCCTACCGGTGGGTCTCGGCTGAAATGAAGAGCACTAAGAATCAATGTGCAGATCAAAGAGCGGCAGGCCGAAGCCTTGAAGTAAACACTGAAGGGGTTTCATCACTGGCCTGCGCTGAGCCACCTGTTGTCCATAAACAAACCAAGGCTAAACATAACCCACGGCTCTGTGGATTCCCGCTCGAGCTGTGATAAAGAAGCGCAACTTCTACATCATCTAATGTCTTCATTATTAACCCTCCGAGGTCTGAAGTTATTACTTCTGACTTGCTGTACTATTTAAAGGTTTTCATTGTTAACATTAATTACCTTTAATAATCTGCTGAACTTTGAGCTTCCTTAGCAACAGCAGTGGCACCGTTAGCTTAATGCTAACACAACACAGGAGGTGCTAGCAGACATAAGCCATATTGCTGCAGTGCTAATTTACTGAGCAAAACCTGCTCAAACGATTTCTTCACCAAACACTGTTATATCATGATTTTCCTTCATTATATGAAGAGAAAAAAGTAACTTCATGAAATGCAATGCAGGCAGATAGAAAGATCTTCTCCTCCTTCAGCGGTCCTTGGTTGCTTGGCAACGTTATCATACTCAAACAGTAGCCTTCAAGCAGTGGGTTGCAAGGAAGCTTCATCAATGTATTTTTTTCCTGGACAGCAGAGCTGTTTTAGGTCTGAAGTGGTCACCACGTCATTTCTGCACCACTGAGGCTCTCAAAGCTCTCCTATGTCATCAGAGTGGACTTTAACCGGCCGTGTGCAGCCTGGTTAAACGGCATGTCCATTGTAAGTGAAGTTATCGAGCACTACTATGGCACTACAGAGACAGAGCCTTGAATATATTTTTTTCTGCTGGGCCTGATCGACCTGCCCCTAGAAAAATGTATGAAATAAACAAAACACAATCCGCTCTGCTGCCACGCCTCATATGTTTAAAAAAAAAAAAGACAAAAAAAAACAACAAAAAAACCCTTTGATTTAAAAAAAAATAAAATAAATGTAACACCTAACTAAACATTAATGAAACACGAGTTTGTTTGAGCATGTTTCATTCTTTCATCATGGTATGCTAATTCATTTACTGACAAAGAACTGACTGTTGAGAGAAACTGAACTGAAAGCTATTTTTATTATTATTTTATTATTTAGTTATTTGGCGTGTTTACATCCTCTCAGCAAAAAAAGGAGCCTATCATCGTGGGCAAAAACCTTGTATCTCTATTTTCCCCCCTTTTTTACATTTGAAAACTGTGTTAAAATGTACAAGTTATTATTTTGGAGAAACAAGGTTTTGTTCCAACAGTAACTATTTGTAGTATTTTGGATGATGATATACTGTTAAGCAGCGATGACTGCTGTTATGCTGAACATCACCAAAACAAGCATATCGCTGCTGTCGGAACAAAACCTTTTCGGTCATTTTTCAGTTT